CATAAAAATTACATTTCTACAGGATCAGTCACTGTGATATTTATAGTGCTTATGGATACTGATGTTATTCTTTAATATGGCGAGTCTGTACTTGATTGGTCAAGGGTTGCCATGGTAACAGACCATAATAAACGCAAATAGTGTACTGCAATATGTTATTTTATAACATGGAATATGATTCAACCCCCAGCATATATGATGTGCTTCAATACCAAGAACATATCATCCTAAAAAAAAATCTTAATCTATGATTACTATAGCATTAAGAGCCTAGGATGGGTACAGCCTCTATGAGTCTAAGATGGTACAGTCTCCAGACCCCTAGATGATACAGCCTTTAGATATAACATGGGATCTGTCTCCAGAGATGGTAGACCCTTCAAAAGCTGATTGCTATAGCATTCAGAGCCTAGGATGGGTACAGTCTTCACGAGTCTCCAGTCTCAGATGGTGCAGCCTCCAGACATAATATGGGAGTTTCCAGGGTCTAAGATGGTAGAGCCTTCAGACCCTGAGAAGGTTCAGCCTCCAGATATGAGAAAATGGTTTAGTCTATGAGTATAACAATCAGAGTCTAATATGGCTTTAGCCACGAGAGTCTAATGGGTACATCTTCTTCTATGATGGGTAGAACCTCCATTTCCAAGAGTAAAAGATAGTCCAGCCTCTATCATCAAAAATTGACACAGCCTAGTGTCTACTTTCTAATATAGTACAACCTCCAGAGTATAATATGAATTCATCCTCCAGAGACTAATATGGTGTAGCATCAATATGGATTCAGCCTCTAGAGTCAAAGCTGAAAGATGGGTAAAGACTCCATGAGTCTTACGATAGTATAGCCTACAAATGAGATGGTATAGCGTCCAAAAGTCTAAGATGGTATAGTCTCCAGAGTCCAAGATGGTACAGCCACCAGAGTATAATATGAATTCAGCCTCTAGACTAATATGATGTAACTTCAGAGTATAATATAGATTCAACCTGTAGAACAAATATAGTACAGCCACAATAGTACCTGATTTCTATGACTGTCAGAGTCCAAGATAGGTACAGCCTCCAAGATTCTAAGATAGTACAGCCTATAAGAGTCTGAGTTGGTATAGCCTCCAAGAGTCTAAGAGGGTATAGCCTCCAGAGTCTACAATGGGTATAGCCTTCAAAAGTCAAAGATGGTACAGCCTCCAGAGCCTTTGATGAGTTCTGGGAATAGCCTTCAAGAGAAGACGGTACACTTTCCAGATGCAGTGTCTATGATGGGCCTCTAAGAGTCTAAGATAGTACAGCCTCTCCAGAGTCTATGATATAGTCTCCAAGAGTCTAAGATGGTACAGCCTCTAGAGGCTTAGAGGGTTTAGCCTTAAGTGTTTAATGGGTACATCCTCAATAGTCTACAATGGGTACAGCTTTCCATAATCTAAGATTCATACAGTTTACAAAGTCTAAGTTGGTACATCTTCTAGAGTCTAAGATGTCAAGAATCGACATTTTGTCACATATAACACCAATCTGTGGTTAATAAATGAGTCTAAGATGGTACAGTCTCTAGAGTTTCAGAGAATTTAGCCTCTAATTTTTAATGGTACATCCTCCAGAGTCTACAATGGGTACAGCATTCATAATCTAAGATTAATACAGCCTACAGAGTCTAAGTTTGTACATCTTCTAGATGTCAGGAATCACCATTTAGTCACATCTAACACCAATCTGTTATTAATAAATGGGTGTAAGATAGCACAGCCTCTAGAGTCTTAGAGGGTTTAGCCTTTAATGTTTAATGGGTACATCCTCCAGAGTCTACAATGGGTACAGCATCCATAATCTAAGATCAATACAGCCTACAGAGTCTAAGTTGGTATATCTTCTAGAGTCTAAGATGTCAGGAATCACCATTTAGTCACATATAACACTGACAAGCTGTGATAAATAAATGGGTCTAAGATGGCACAGCCTCTAGAGTCTTAGAGGGTTTAGCCTCTAATGTTTAATGGGTATATCCTCCAAAGTCTACAATGGGCACAGCATCCATAATCTAAGATTGATACAGCCTACAGAGTCTAAGTTGGTACATCTTCTAGAGTCTTAGATGTTACATATAACACCAATATGTGATTAATAAATGGGTCAGGAAATGCTTTGACAGACTGATGGGCAGACAGACAAACAGAGCAGTATTATAACAAACAGCATTATTAGTTGTGTTAACACAGCAAACGCATATCAATATCATCCAAACTTGTATTTGTTGAAAAAAGATTATACACTAAAACATTTCTTAAGGATGGATGTAATAAACAATTTGTTAAGGTATAAGGATTGCCTGAAATGATCTCTACCCACATCCTATTTACATACATTATCTTGTGTTACTATGGCAACCAATCGACAAAACATGTTTAGACTCACCATACCAGATAATAACATATGTATCAATCTGTCAATGAGCCTTGTAAATATGATTCTGTAAACATGGAATTATTTTGAAATGTAATAACAAAAAGCGCCAAGCCCACTTTGTGGTAAATCGCTTAGTAGTTATCAAACATGAATAGAGTCCAAAGCCAAATATGTCAACCTATTCATAGATTACTAGTAATCATGTTATCTTGTTGTAAACACCTTCAATATGTATTAAGCTCAACTTTGCATTCATTTTGAGAAATTAAAAATGACAAGCTACCATCCGTTTGTAGGGACACAGTTGATTTATCTTTAATATGTTCAATATTTTGCAGTTAAATTGTGTTGCCATGGTAACCAATAGTCCAATCAAGATTAAACTTTCCATGACTACTAACCAAACATAGATGCATGATCTCTGAAAATTTGAATGTGATTGGAGGCACATAACAGAAAATATAAATGCTTATCATAGTACCCCTCATAAAATAAGATCAGGGGGTACAAATAGTGATTTTTACATGTTTTCCACTACTTAGATTTTTCTAGATTTTTGATATGTGTTTTAACTCATCAATATGCATTTGTTGCACTAGGTTTAATTAGGTGTGCAATTTTTTCATTTATTTTTGATAATTTTACTGGAGTATATGTAAATCAGCAACGTTTGAGATCATTCTGAATGCAAGCAGGAAAACTGTAAACCCGTCTGTAATATTTAGTGGATTTATGTAAATCAGCTACGTTTGAAATCATTGTGAATGTAAGCAGGAAAACTGTAAACCCATCTGTAATATTTAGTAGATCTATGTATGTATGTATCTTTATTTCCCACATATGTGCGGATTTCATATGAACTTATATTACAGGCGCATTGACACTAGTAAACTGCTAGTGTCATTAACAATAAACTTACAATTTTAAAGACAAGACAAGATTAAATGAGAGAATGAGAAAATATATCTTGCTTTTCCTAATTAGACTTTTTTGTTGTTTTATGATTTAAGATCATTTGAATAGGCACACATGGAAGTGTTAGGCAAATAAATTGATCCAACAAAATCTTCTCATACATAATGAAACATGTCATCCAATGCAATCAAAACTAAATATATATATTAGTTTGATACAGGGAGTTGCTACTCAAATTTAGATTGATTTAATTGAAGTGAACATGTTTAAAATGTTGTCATTAAAGGATCAATAGCTGTAACTCTCATCCTAAATAACTTATTTGAAATTCATAATGATATGGGACAATCAATATAGACTTGGACACAAAACTATTCAAAATTATAAAAACACTCAACGTTTTTAGGTTTTAAAAACAATTTTAAATTCAGCTTTACATGATATCTATCTATAGTGATTGTCTAAGTTACATCATTATGATTTTAAGTGATTATTACAGCTATATGGAGCCTTTCATTTGTGCTTCTAATAAATTTCAGAATAAAAGAGACTGTATTGCCCAAAAACTGTCATAATGGGTTATGGGTTATTGCGTCAACGAAGGAAACAGCAGCATTTCAAAACAATTAAACAATACAAGGAAAATGAATCTAGAAATGATAAGATAGATGTATATCATAATATGTTTTGGATATTCTACAATATTGCTGGACTCATTGTACTTCTGCATCTAGCACAAACTACTTTGAATTATTTAAAAGAGCTACATGAGAATTACAGTTACTTCTCACATATTAATGTAATAGACTAGGGATATCCATAATTTACATGACTTATAGTGTAGGTGTAGGTTTGCTAAGATATATGATATAACTCCCGCAACAATAAGATGACATTTTTATGAATAATACAGTATAAACTAAACAATATACTGTAGATGTAGTTTTTGTAAGATATATGATATAACTCCGGAAACAATAAGATGACATTTTTATGAATAATACAGTATAAACTAAACAATATACTGTAGATGTAGTTTTTGTAAGATATATGATATAACTCCGGAAACAATAAGATGACATTTTTATGAATAATACAGTATAAACTAAACAATATACTGTAGATGTAGTTTTTGTAAGATATATGATATAACTCCGGAAACAATAAGATGACATTTTTATGAATAATACAGTATAAACTAAACAATATACTGTAGATGTAGTTTTTGTAAGATATATGATATAACTCCGGCAACAATAAGATGACATTTTTATGAATAATACTGTATAAACTAAACAACTCATGATTATATGAAATGTTGGAAGGTCATGTGCCCAAACCCTGAATATTCAATGTAAATTTGTATTAATGAAATAAACCTATTGATTAAAAAACTACTCCTGATATATTACTATGAAATAATGTTTGTACGCTTTGATTGCAGTAGTGTTTTCCATTTGTGTCATATGTGTGACTCATTTATTGCATTTGAGGTTTTCCACATATAGAGGTTCATTTAACATTAAGTTGAAAAGTGTTCCACTTGGTTGTTGTTCCACCAGCAGAGGCATTCCAATTTACAAGTTTTACTTTACATTATTTTCATGCAGAATGATGACTTATACCTGGTACATCATAGCAGTATAACAGAAACTTCAATTCAACTTCAATTCATTTATGTTTTTCAGGAAGTTGAGAGGGAAATCTCATTCCGTACAGAACAGGGACTTTACTATTCCTACTACAAACAAATGATCAAAGCGCCATCTATTCAGCAAGGTATGTGTACAATAGCTGTTAACAAATTGATTACTGAAGAGGGTTTTCAGGAAGCGAACTGCTCAAACCAAATAGGTTTTGCAAATATTTAATATGCAATATGATTAGATGATGTTTGGAGATGTAGTTTATGGTTCATACTACTTTATTGTTATTAAATCCAGTTTTCATTCAATATATCGACAGTTTGGGCCAAAAAATAATCACAAGTTTAAAGATAAATATCATGTGATATATGATAAGCCATGCAATGTATTATATATTATTTTAAAGATAAATCATATCCTAACAATATGACACCATCCGGTTGAAATGAAAAACCTTTCTTTTCTTGTGAAAAAGAGGCTAAAATTGACACCAGGGGTGTCATGAGTGACCAAAAATCAATAAATGAAAATCCCCAAAGGATAGGTATCGATATGGTTAATCTTCTTAACTAATGCTCATTTCCTACCCTTTGCATTCGTTTGACTTCACTTCTTAAAAGAGAGCTTCGTCTTCACTCTTTCAAACTAAAATAAACCTGTGAACTCACCGCGCCAATCAGTGTTCGTCGGCCAAAATTGACCGACGTTCTATATATGGTCATTCCTTCTGACGTCATCGTTGAGCCCGGAATTGACCAATGACATGCGCATATTTAATTAGAATGCATTGTTTCTTCAAGCTCGCTGACTGGTGGAAGAAAGGTCAGCGCGTAGGTCAAAAGTTATTTATTACACAAACTGTCACCGGTACCCGTCGTGGGGGCAGGGCTACTAAACTGTAATATGGTCTCTACTAGGCAGAGTGTAGTTTAACTAGACTCTGCACGCAGGGTACTCATTTCCATATTATGTGAGTACATATTGGTAAGTCCACAATTGGTTCTGGTGACACATTTATGCATGACATCAGATATACAAACCTATAATGTACAATGCCCAGTATAACTCACTAGTACTATGCCTGCCTTGTTTTTGAAATAATTGATGTTTTGTAGGTCTGTATGAGCTGACACATGATAATATCACAGAACATCTACGCACCATCAACATATTGCATAGATTTAATATTTACCAGGAAATCCTTCTCAGCATTATATACAGACTTACATCAGTAAAGGTGAGTGAAGGATACATTGATGGGATCAGTAAAAGTGAGTGAAGGATACATTGATGGGATGTTAGTTTCTCAACATTTATCAAAGTATTATATACAGACTTACACCAGTAAAGGTGAGTAAGGATACATTGATGGGATGTTAGTTTCTCAACATTTATCAAAGTATTATAAACAGACTTACACCAGTAAAGGTGAGTGAAGGATACATTGATGGGATGTTAGTTTCTCAACATTTATCAAAGTATTATATACAGACTTACACCAGTAAAGGTGAGTAAGGATACATTGATGGGATGTTAGTTTCTCAACATTTATCAAAGTATTATATACAGACTTACACCAGTAAAGGTGAGTGAAGGATACATTGATGGGATGTTAGTTTCTCAACATTTATCAAAGTATTATATACAGACTTACACCAGTAAAGGTGAGTGAAGGATACATTGATGGGATCAGTAAAGGTGAGTGAAGGATACATTGATGGGATGTTAGTTTCTCAACATTTATCAAAGTATTATATACAGACTTACACCAGTAAAGGTGAGTGAAGGATACATTGATGGGATGTTAGTTTCTCAACATTTATCAAAGTATTATATACAGACTTACACCAGTAAAGGTGAGTGAAGGATACATTGATGGGATGTTAGTTTCTCAACATTTATCAAAGTATTATATACATACTTACACCAGTAAAGGTGAGTAAGGATACATTGATGGGATGTTAGTTTCTCAACATTTATCAAAGTATTATATACAGACTTACACCAGTAAAGGTGAGTGAAGGATACATTGATGGGATGTTAGTTTCTCAACATTTATCAAAGTATTAGGAATGCTGGTAGGACCTTTTCAGCTTCATCACTGCAACTGATCATATTTTATTCACTGTATTAGTTTAAACAGATATAAAATGACAAAGATATTAGGAAAATGGTGTTAGGGTTTCCAGTTTTTTTGACCACCCTATTATATACACTGTATAAGTTTAAACATATATGCTATAAAACCTGTATATCTGAACACCAATTTTAATCTGAACACCTCTCAATCTGAAAATACTGTTGGTCTTAGACTTCCATGTTAAAAAAATCAGTTGAAATCAGTGAAAACCTGCTAACCTGAGCAGTTGTTACCATACCCAGTAGTGTTTGGATGTGGCTTAAGATGAATGTCAATTTATATTAAAGGAAACTACATATAATTGAATGGTTTCTATAAATAAAATATCTTCTTGTTGCAGAACTATTTTGAGCCAGTCTATTTCTACATCAATACCATATTTGGTCTTCATGGGTTGCTTGTTGCTGCCATCTATGTGACATCCTGGGCACTAAGTGGTTCTTGGCTCAGTGGAGTTCTGACTGCATTGTTCTACATATTTAACAGGTATGACATGACATTGGTTTTAAGATGACATTGGTTATAAGATGACACTTATGTAAGATGACACTGACTCTAGTCATTAAAGGACATTGTTTATGTTTTGAGTCACAAAAACCTACTAAGAGCTGCTGTGTTAAAAGCTGTTTTTAAAAAACAAATGTTAAGATTTTTACATTTAGATAAGATATGTATGTTTTGATTGTAGTTATCTTTTGTAATCATTACACGAGGGTTCCACAGCATTCAATGCATACCAAAATATAATCTACCAATCTTTAAAATCTACTAAGTATTCACCTTTCCCCAAAGTCCAAAGTGTACTCATTTGACAGCTGCGCTGATTGGTTGATGAAAATAAATGACGTCAAAGCAGGGCACATTTCGCGCTTAAAGGGTTCCGATTAGCATCCCGTATAAAAACAATATGGCGGCTCCAGGCGAATCAACTGGATCAGTCCATTTTTAAGAAATAAGGGGAGTTCTGTAAAATCCAGTTTATTGAAATTGTCTTTGAGATAAAGTAATCCGTTTATAATGATTTTGAAAACGTTATCCAAAGAGTGATTGCGTTCAAAGAATACATGTACAACAGCCAATATAAATCCTTGTATTAGAAACCGGTTTTTCTTGCTTTGTTTCATTTGTAGGATATTTCATATGCCAAGCTGTGTGCTATTACGTTATGGGGAAATTTAGATGCCAATTTTTCCTTATTGTACACAAATAGAAGATCCTGAAACTTCACCCATAAATATGGAATTGATTTGTCAAAATAAAAATCACCCTTTTATAAATGTGTGACGATCTATAATATACTTACGCTATATAACAGTTAGAGGTGTTGACACAACGACCTCGAACCTGTGAACCCTTGAGTATTATTCCGGGATCGGGCCTTTTATACTAAACGGTGAGCAACACCAGAAACGAGCGTTCGATTTGCTAAACGATATGCGTCACCCTTTAAACTTCAATTACTATTAGATTGCCGAATGAGTGAAATAGATCTCATTATAAAATGATAACAAAACTAAGTGAAATATATTTTCTGACTATTTTGCCTTAAGCTGTGTCTTAAATACACCATCCGGTAAATCAAACCGTAGAAATAATTGTGATACAAGTGCTAGTCCACTTGCATTTTTCTCATCGGATTGCCCAAATAATTTGCGATTGGTCATGTATTTTTGCAATTTATATATTGAAGTAACTAATATTCATCATACTGTAGTAGTTTGCATTTTAATTGCAATTCTAAGCTTAATTACAGGCCCGTAGCCATAGGAGGGGGGGGGGGAGCGGCCACTCCTTCCGCTCACTAGCTTTTTCGGCCAGAAATTCTTTCAAAATCATGCAGTTTTTCACCATTCTGAGCACTTTTTGCATGATTTTTGTCAAAACTATCAAAAAGGGTGGAATATGTTATTCCCTGATTTCTTAAAAAAACTTGTTATATTTATCATATTTGTTTTATGCTAGACACAACAAGGGTAGAATATGTTATACCCTGATTTCTTAGAAATACTTGTAATATATAATATACAGGGTGGGCCAAAAAATTTTGCAACCTTTTTAGAAGGCAAAAAAAGTATCATAACATTATGGTATTGACAGGAAATTTTTTTTACAGAAACTTAAGGATAGGCATATTTTACCATTCAAATACTTAAGCTAATACTGACTTCAAATTTTTTTGTCAGATGTTTGAATATTAATGGTAAATTTTTCATTTGTCTGAGATTTACCATTTTTCCTAGAAAATCTGACTTTCTATGATTTTATGTGATCAACAATAACACATTCATTATGTTTACTTAATCTGCTACAATCTTTGATAACTGTTTAACCAATGTCTAGTACAGGTTAATATCAGTATCTAGTCACTATGGTAATATTGTTACACTGTATTAATTATTTATTAAACAAATGTTCTATGCATCCGCCTTTCACCTTCACAATCACATGGAGACGAGAACTGAACTGGTCAATGGCGAGATCCAGCAGTTCTTGTGGTAGTCGTCTCCACTTATCCTGCAGAACTTCTTATAGTTGATCAATAATTTGTGGGGTATAACCATTAACTACAATACATTGCTCCAGGTGCCCCCATGTGTGATAGTCCCAGGGGTTGGCATCTGGTGTATTGGGTGGCCATTTGACTCAGGACTAATCTTCTTCAAAAGGGACATCTTTCAAGAATGGGGGCTCTTTCAGCCCCAAGTGATTACATATTCCAGCAGGATAGCGCTCCTGACCATAGGCCAAAAGTCACTATGGAATATCTGGAGCAAAATACCCCTTGATTCATTAGTCCTGATGAATAGCCGCCCAATACACCACTTAACAAAGATTGCAGCAGATTTAGTAATAAATGTTCTATCGATGATCACATAAAATTATGGAAAATCGGAAAATCTCGGACACATGAACAATTTACCATTAATATTCAAACATCTGAAAAAAAAATTGTAGTCAGTATTAGCTTAAGTATTTGAATGGTAAAATATGCCTATCCTTAAGTTTCTGTAAAAAAAATTTCATGTCAATACCATAATGTTATGATACTTTTTTATCACACCATCGGTGGGATATAGTCGTCATACTGGTCGTGATCGTGGTCGTGATCGTGGTCGTGATCGTGATCGTCCCGCTTTTTGTCATCGCCGTTTAAGGAAAACTGCATATCAGATTTTCTCCAAATTCGCAGAGATGATAGAGCATATGAAGTACTAGAGCTGATTAACTTTTGGGTGGCCATCTTGTTTTCTGGCGGCCATTTTGAAGGTTTTTCGAAAAATCTTGTCATCGCCATTTCAGGAAAACCGCTCATTGGATTTCCTTCAAATTTACACAAATGATAGAGGATATCAAGTACTAGAGCTGATTAACTTTTGGGTGGCCATCTTGTTTTCTGGCAGCCATTTTGAAGATTTTTCGAAAAATCTTGTCATCGCCATTTCAGAAAATCCGCTCATCGGATTTCCTTCAAATTTACACACATGATAGAGGATATCAAGTACTAGAGCTGATTAACTTTTGGGCGGCCATCTTGTTTTCTGGCAGCCGTTTTGAAGATTTTTCGAAAAATCTTGTCATCGCCATTTCAGAAAATCTGCTCATCGGATTTCCTTCAAATTTACACACATGATAGAGGATATCAAGTACTAGAGCTGATTAACTTTTGGGCGGCGATCTTGTTTTCGAGTGGCCATTTTGAAGGTTTTTCGAAAAATCTTGTCATCGCCATTTCAGGAAAACTGCTCATCGGATTTCCTTCAAATTCGCACAGATGATAGAGGATATCAAGTACTAGAGCTGATTAACTTTTGGGTGGCCATCTTGTTTTCTGGTGGCCATTTTTAAGGTTTTTCGAAAAATCTTGTCATTGCCATTTCAGGAAAACTGCTCATCGGATTTCCTGTACATGATAGGGGATATCAAGTTCTAGAACTTATTAAATTTTGGGTGGCCGTTTTGTTTTCTGGCGGCCATTTTGAAAGTTTTTCAATAAATCTTCTCATCGCCATTTCAAGAAAACCCCTCATCAAATTTGCTCCAAATTCCCACACATGATAGAGGATATCAAGAACTAGAGCTGATTAACTTTTGGGTTGCCATCTTGTTTTCTGGTGGCCATTTTGAAGGTTTTTTTTTGATAAATCTTGTCATCACCATTTTAGAAAAAAACGCTTATTGGATTTCCTTCAAATTCGCACACATGATAGGGGATATCAAGTTCTACACCTATTTGATGGTGTGATCTCGTTCACGTCCTGTGCCTTGTTTGCATTCTAAAAAGGTTGCAAAATTTTTTGGCCCACCCTGTATATCATATTTGTTTTAAGCTAGACACAACAAGGTTGGAATTTGTTATACTCTGATTTCTTAGAAATACTTGTCATATATATCATATTTGTTTTAGGGTGGAATATGTTATTCCCTGATTTCTTAGAAGTACTTGTTATATATAATATATATCATATTTGTTTTAGGCTAGACACAACAAGGTTGGAATATGTTATACTCTGATTTCTTAGAAATACTGGTCATATATATCATATATATGTTATTCCCTGATTTCTTAGAAATACTTGTCATATATATCATATATATTTTAGGCTAGAGACAACAAGGGTAGAATAAGTTATACCCTGATTTCTTAGAAATACTTGTCATATATATCATATATATGTTATTCCCTGATTTCTTAGAAGTACTTGTAATATATAATATATATCATATTTGTTTTAGGCTAGACACAACAAGGATGGAATATGCTATACCTTGATTTCTTAGAAATACTTGTCATATATATCATATATATTTTAGGCTAGAGACAACAAGGGTAGAATATGTTATGCCCTGATTTCTTAGAAATACTTGTCATATATATCATATATATGTTATTCCCTGATTTCTTAGAAGTACTTGTAATATATAATATATATCATATTTGTTTTAGGCTAGACACAACAAGGGTGGAATATGCTATACCCTGATTTCTTAGAAATACTTGTAATATATATTATATTTGTTTTAGGCTAGACACAACAAGGTTGGAATATGCTATACCTGTATTTCTTAGAAATACTTGTCATATATATCATATTTGTTTTAGGGTGAAATATGTTATTCCCTGATTTCTTAGAAGTACTTGTTATATATAATATATATCATATTTGTTTTAGGCTAGACACAACAAGGTTGGAATATGTTATACTCTGATTTCTTAGAAATACTTGTCATATATATCATATATATGTTATTCCCTGATTTCTTAGAAATACTTGTCATATATATCATATATATTTTAGGCTAGAGACAACAAGGGTAGAATATGTTATGCCCTGATTTCTTAGAAATACTTGTCATATATATCATATATATGTTATTCCCTGATTTCTTAGAAGTACTTGTAATATATAATATATATCATATTTGTTTTAGGCTAGACACAACAAGGGTGGAATATGTTATACTCTGATTTCTTAGAAATACTTGTGATATATATCATATTTGTTTTAGGCTAGATACAACAAGGGTGGAATATGTTATACTCTGATTTCTTAGAAATACTTGTGATATATATCATATTTGTTTTAGGCTAGACTCAACAAGGGTGAAATATGTTATACTCTGATTTCTTAGAAAAACTTGTAATATATATCATATTTGTTTTAGGCTAGACAAAACAAGGGTGGAATATGTTATACCCTGATTTCTTAGAAATACTTGTCATATATATCATATTTGTTTTAGGCTAGATACTACAAGGGTGGAATATGTTATACCCTGATTTCTTAGAAATATTTGTCATATATATCATATATATGTTATTCCCTGATTTCTTAGAAATACTTGTCATATATATCATATATATGTTATTCCCTGATTTCCTAGAAGTACTTGTAATATATAATATATATCATATTTGTTTTAGGCTAGACACAACAAGGGTGGAATATGTTATTCCCTGATTTCCTAGAAGTACTTGTAATATATAATATATATCATATTTGTTTTAGGCTAGACACAACAAGGGTGGAATATGTTATTCCCTGATTTCTTAGAAATACTTGTCATATATATCATATTTGTTTTATGCTAGACACAACAAGGTTGGAATATGTCATTCCCTGATTTCTTAGAAAAACTTGTAATATATATCATATTTGTTTTAGGCTAGACACAACAGGGTGGAATATGCTTTACCTTGATTTCTTAGAAATACTTGTGATATATATCATATTTGTTTTAGGCAAGACACAACAAGGATGGAATATGCTATACCTTGATTTCTAAGAAAAACTTGTAATATATATCATATTTGTTTTAGACTAGACACAACAAGGATGGAATATGTTATACCCTGATTTCTTAGAAATACTTGTGATATATATATCATATTTGTTTTAGGCTAGACACAACAAGGGTGGAATATGTTATACCCCTGAGGGAATGCTTCTCTCTTCCTTTCCTATGGACACAGATCATGTTCATTAACTTCTTTTTTCAACCCAAGTCAACATCAAGGCTCAAACAGGTGAGTGATAGGACAGTTACAGGGGGTTCAATAAATCTATAACTCGTTAAGCCTGCAGGCTTAAAGGACAACTGCAATAATAAATTAAACCTAAAGGAATCAATTTTATTTAATAATGGATGCATTTGGGCATGTCATCTAATCAGTAATGTGGCAACTGTTTCATTCTACTGATTCTGGTAGAGGTTTTATAAAGAAAATTAAAAAATGTTTGACATATTTTGGGCCATGTGGTCCGTTTTTGTTCACTGAATCATTACGTCATAATTCCAAGATGTTTTTGTTATTTGTTTACACGACAATCTTGCGGTTGCTGTAACATTGTGATTACAAGAAATAAATAAATAAACCAGATCTATAGATAACTAGACTTTGGAAATTGAACGAAGTTCAATTTCAGACTCCAGATCTAGACTTTTTTAAGCCCAGTCATCTAAAATAAGCCGAGTCATCCAGAATAAGCTGAGTCATCCAGAATAAGATGGATGGATAAAATAGGAAGGTAGGATAGGATAGAATGGGAAGGAACGATAGGATAGAATAAGAAAGAAGGATAGGATAGAACAGAATAGGAAGAAAGGATATGATAGGAGAGGATAGGAAGGATAGGAAGGAAAGGATACGAAGGAAGGATAGATAGGAAGGATAGGATAGGATCAGATAGGATGGATGGATGAATTTTTTTTTTTTTTTTTTGACTTTCTATCAGGATACCATCAGATCGATTTTCCGAAATTTCAAAACGCCATAACTTCCGAACCGGAAGTCGGATCTAAATTTGATTTAAAGATTCGGATTCCTGACAAAATTCTATCCCTAATTCTTAACTCATACGTTAAATTTGGCGAATTTTTATTTTGACCTACTTTTTGGACACGCCATAACTTCGGAACCGGAAGTCAGATCGAAATTTAATTTGCAGACTCGGATTTCTGAGAAAATTCTACCCTTAATTCATAACTCATATGTTAAATTTGGAGAAATTTTTATTTTTGACCTACTTTTCGGACACCATATCTCAAAAGTGGGTCGAAATACTTTCTGACGGCAAAAGGCTAACACTATTACCACACTCTTTCCTACCTGTATACAAAATTTTGAAGCAAATCATTTAAATATAGTGTCAAAATCGCAAAAATAAGGAAAAACTATGAATTTGACCTAGATTTTGACCTAGGGATTTTGGTGTCCAAATTTTGAAGTTAGGTAGCCTTCAAGGTCCCCTTCTTTCATAGGCTTTCATTATTTTAAGCTGTACTTAGTCTATATCTCAAAAAAAATCTTTTTTCCCATTGACATAACATGGGGCACCAAATTTAGCGATTTTTGAGCTTTCAAAATGTCATAACTTCCGAACTGGAAGTCGGATCGAAATTTGGTTTGCAGATTCGGATTCCTGAGAAAATTCTATACTTAATTCATAACTCAAACGTTACATTTGGAGAATTTTTTATTTTGACCTACTTTTCGGACACCATATCTCAAAAGTGGGTCAAAATACTTTCTGACGGCAAAAGGCTAACACTATTAGCACACTCTTGGCTACATGTATACAAAGTTTCGAAGAATATAATTAATCTGTAGTGTCAGAATCGCAAAAATAAGGAAAAACTTTGAATTTGACCTAGATTTTGACCTAGGCATTTTGGTGTCCAAATTTTGAAGCTATGTGGCTTTTGAGGTCCCCTTCTTTTAAAGGCTTTGATTATATGAAGCTGAACTCAGTCTATATTTCGTATTTTTCACTTCAAAAAAATCTTTTTTCCCATTGACTTAACATGGGCACCAAATTTAGCGATTTTTAAACTTTCAGAATGTCATAACTTCCGAACTTGAAGTCGGATCGAAATTTGGTTTGCAGATTCGGATTCCTGAGAAAATTCTATACTTAGTTCATAACTCTCACGTTAAATTTGGAGAATTTTTTATTTTGAACTACTTTTCGGACACCATATCTCAAAAGTGGGGCAAAATACTTTCTGACGGCAAAAGGCTCACACTATTAGCACACTCTTGGCTACATGCATACAAAATTTCGAAGAATATAATTAATCTGTAGTGTCAGAATAGCAAAAATAAGGAAAAACTTTGAATTTGACCTAGATTTTGACCTAGGCATTTTGGTGTCCAAATTTTGAAGCTAGATGGCTTTTGAGGTCCCATTCTTTAAAAAGCTTTCATTATATTTAGCTGAACTCAGTCTATATTTCGAATTTTTCACTTCAAAAAAATATTTTTTCCCATTGACTTTACATGGGCACCAAATTTAGCGATTTTTGAGCTTTCAAAACGCCATAACTTCCAAACCGGAAGTCTGATTCGGATTTGGTTTTCAGATTCGGAATCCTGAGATAATTTCCTATAAGACTAATATCCTAGACATTTGATTCGGAGAACTTTTTTTGGACCTCGTTTTCGGACACTGATATCTCGAAATCGGTTTGAGATATCAAAAAACAAAATCGACCCTAGGTTTTCTACTTTTTTATAATGAACACAATGAAAAAAAAACGGATCGAAAATATTGAAGGAGGACCGAGAAAATCGAAAAAAGTGACAAAGTACTGAATTTGACCTAGTTCTTGACCTTTGACCTAGATAAAAATTTGACCCAATTTCCGAGGAACTAGATACTGGACCTAAATTAACCAAATGATTGACTTTACTGAAGACCTTATGGTTATTGAGAAAACTGGGATAGAAAAAGAATAATAAGAAGAAGAATAAGAAAACTGACGAAAACAATAGACTCCAGATTTCATCTGGAGTCTAATAAAGAATAAGAATACTGGCAAAAACAATAGACTCCAGATTGACATCTGGAGTCTAATAAATATGACACCGATCACTTTGGGGCCAATCATGTTAATTTATAATTCCCTTATTATTAGACTATTAACAGTAATTTATCGTTCATTTTATAATGGTTATCGCGAGAATCTATGTTGGGCTTACAGTGCAGAAAACTGCATTTTTATAGCTGCAAGTTTAGGAAACCTATTTCAGTTGTGCTTTAAAGCTAGATATTTGAATCAGGCCTTTCGCCAAATGAACCATTAATTTACAAAATACATACTGAACATGTACATATACAAATTGGGTCCCCGTGTATCAATATCATGATGATCAAGTAATCTAACATCCCAAGCTTAATTCTTCATATTTAACACTGTGTAACATATTTCTTCAAATAAAGTATTTCTAATAATGCAACATTGAAAGTCAATTAAATGTTTATATGTATTTTATTTCCAGAAATTGTATATAGTAGGTATGTCTCTGTGCACATTTTGCTTTTGTGTGACATGGCAGTTCAACCAATTTGTTCTGCTGCTTCAAGCCATGGCACTATTTGGCGTAGGAATGTTAGAAATAGTCCCTATATACAAGGTTTGTGCAGTTATGAATTAAGAATTTAATGATTTATAAGGATCTCTAAAACAGACCAGGGTTGAACAATAGGTCAGACAACCTGTAATAATTGTAGGTTATGATTTTAGAATTTTAAGCTGTGATCACGAGGCAAAATACTCTTTGAGTCTTCCATGATAAAGGATCATATTGGGTTTTATGTCAAATTAAAAAAGCATATTCTTTGCCATGAGGCCATTTGATGTCTTACTTCATCACACATTGATATTTGTAATAAGGGCAGTATAGCATTAGACAAATAATTGAAATATGCAATATTATGCGACACAATTCTTGTAAAGTTCATCTTTTTGCCTGAATATTGCCACAAATAAGTCAACATTTACCCTGCAAGCATCTGAAATAGCTGGCAGTTTAAATGACATTTCCATTTTCAGGTTTGCACTGTGTTCCTGATCCAGGCCTGTAGTCTGCTTCTCGTGTGTGCCATGCAGTTCATCAATGTGATGATCATTGGATCTCTTGTTTTGAGCTTCATTCCCGCAGCTTTCGTTGTCTTTTATATCAAGGTAAGGCTTATTGTGTAATGGTCAAGTTTCTGTTTTATTTTCAAATCTTCAATTTCACTTTGTGTCTCAGTGTGTAAACAAAACTAGTCTGAGTCACATGGATGTGCACATACAAATATTTACCATGATTTAAGAGGAAGTAACATTTAATTTAAGATTTGAATGAATCGCCCATTTAACAAATGTGTTCATCTGAGTGAAGGAGAACATATTTATCCCACCAAAAGAAGTTCAAGGCGGATATAGAGAAACTGTTCATTCGTCTGTCGGTCTGGGCGATAACTCAAATACTGGTTAATGGATTTGATTCAAAGTTTATAGGCTTATGCCTTATGGATGTAAAGACTTCTGCTGAAGAAAGAACTTTCAATATGGCCACACATTGTTAAAAATGGCCGTAAAAATGTAATCTTTGATACCTCAAATACTATTTGACAGATTCGTTTAAAATTGTAAATGCTGATGCCTAGAAACAAGGGAGCAAACTTGACTCCTTTGCTCAAGAAGAGATTTTCAAGATGACAGCTGAATTTCAAAATGGCCAACTTTTTCCTTTAAAAACGTAATCTTTGATTGCTCAAATAACAGTGGATGGATTTGATTCAAATTTTATATGCTGATGCCTGGTAATAAAGGAGCTCTGCTCAAAAAGAAATTTTCAAGACTGCCGCTATTCATCAAAATGGCCGCCAATTGTCATTAAAAATGTAATCTTTGGTAACACAAATACCATTGGACAGATTTGGTTCAGATTTTAAATGCTGGTGCCTTTTTGGGACAAAGGAGTTGTGCTAATTTTATATGCTAATACTTAGAGACAAAGGAGTTCTGTTCAAGAAGAAATCTTCAAGATGACTGCTATTTATCAAATCATGTTTAGTTTGATGGGATTTGCTACTCTCTTGAGTTGTTGTTTTTCTAGTTTTATTTTATTAGTGTTAAGAACTTATACATGCCAAAAACATGGCTGACAGTTTACTTGTGATATTTCAGCAAAAGATTCCTGTGAGAAACATAGTGTTAAGGGTGTTCCTGTTACTATTTTATATAATCCTGGTGCTCTTTTGTATGGTTGGGATCAACTGGCTCATAAAGGTAAGATGTCATTTTATTATACCAATGTACAATTGTCTAACTAGCACTGGGCTCCCTGTTGAGAAAAATCCTTAGTAGGTCATTTATTGTTGCCTGAACTTGTAAGACATAATCACTCATGTTTAATGTTGATTATTAGTAGTATTCTAGTACTACATAGACACTAAAGCATAATGAAGTTTGCAAGAAATAAAGTATAAATTAAGCACATTTTCTATTCCAGTGTGTAGTTGAGATACAGGCTGATGAACATATCTACAAGTTTGTTCTCTACAAGTTTGGATTTGGAGATCCAAGGTCAGTTGATAGCAAGGAAAATAATTTTTATGCTTTGTCCTTGTCACATTGTATTCATTTCATTTTGCTATTTTTATGCAATAGCATAATAGCTAAAGTTGGTATTGGTAATTTGGTTTTCAGTAGTTGTGTTTTTAACATGGTTGTTATACTTTTTACAACCAGGTTGGTATATTTTGTCATGTAAATGCTTTATATGTTTCAATAAATAAACACACAACGTGCTCCTGAATACATCAATAAACACACAAAGTGCTCCTGAATACATCATTAAACACACACAGTGCTCCTGAATACATCAATAAACACACACAGTGCTCCTGAATACATCAATAAACACAAAAAGTACTCATAAATACATCAATAAACACACAAAGTGCTCCTGAATACATCAATAAACACACAAAGTGCTCCCGAATACATCAATAAATACACACAGTGCTCATGAATACATCAATAAACCCACAAAGTGCTCCTGAATACATCAATAAACACACAAAGTACTCCTGAATACATCAATAAACACACTAGGTACTCATGAATACATGTACATCAATAAACACACAAAGTGCTAATAAATACATCAATAAACACACAAAGCGCTCCTGAAATACATCAATAAACACACAAAGTGCTCCTGAAATACATCAATAAACACACAAAGTGCTCCTGAATACATCAATAAACACACAAAGTGCTCATAAATACATCAATAAACACTCAAAGTGCTCATAAATACATCAATAAACACACAAAGTACTCATGAATACATCAATAAACACACACAGTGCTCATGTGATTTGTGCAATTGTATTTTTCAGGGATTTTGATACAAAATTGTACATCTGTAATGGAGCATTTGAGTTCATGGATAGCAGTATTCTGACACGTACTACTGAGAATGGTTTTATGTTCCCTCTTTATATATCTACTCATGTCATATTACTGGGAATGCTAGCAGTCACTGTATTACAGAAATACTGGTGAGGATATATTTTAATTGTTTTACTACTGAGAATTGGTTTATGTTCCCTCTTTATATATCTACTCATGTCATATTACTGGGAATGCTAGCAGTCACTGTATTACAGAAATACTGGTGAGGATATATTTTAATTGTTTTACTACTGAGAATTGGTTTATGTTCCCTCTTTATATATCTACTCGTGTCATATTACTGGGAATGCTTGCAGTCACTGTATGGTCTTATGACTGAGATAAAGTACAAATGTCAAGCTCTTTATTTTGCTAGTTCAAAGAAAATATTAATTATTTTAATTAACCTAATCCAAGGACTGAAGAGAACACTCTATATTCATCAACTTCTGATCAATTGTAATGAGATGACTGTTGACCACTCATTGACCAATCAGAGTCTAGTGTTTCAACTCGAGTAATAACAATGTGTCATTCCAGGTCTCCTGTCCAAGAAGGTAAAGAAGCAAAAGATGACAGTTTACTTTCTAACAGACCAGAGTTAGCATTCCATGCAAGTAAGTTCATGCATTCCATACAAGTAAGTTCATGCATTCCATACAAGTAAGTTCATGCATTCCATACAAGTAAGTTCATGCGGATTACTTACTCGTTATCAAAGTGTTTCAGTATGTTTAATCTTTATACTAAATAGTCATTATTTAACATTAAATATCTTAATTGCATTTCAGTTCAAATCGTGTTTTTTGCTGCTATGGGGATTACTACTCAGCGAATGAAGTATCTCTGGACTCCTTATATGTGCATATTTGCAAGTATTGGGATCACTGACTACCATATATGGAGTTGCCTAATTAAAAAACTGAACAAGTCAGAAATAGCTGTAAGTTGCCTTTCATGTAGAATTAGATGGCCACTATAATGCTGAAATATTGGACCAACTGAATTAGGGTGGGGGTGGGGCTTATATCCAATTAATGCTACCAATAATATGGACTTCAGCAATTTTGTTGAAATTTTAAATATGAATAACTAGAAGTGTATTACACTGCAGCCATTTCCAAAAAACGGTGGCTATAGCTGTTCAATGGGATTTGCTATGCCTTGGCGTTGCTGTTATCTAGTTCAGTTTGTTTCTTACATTGTAGATCCAGTTACTCCGGCACTTAACAGCAATATTGGTCATCTCTGCTGTGCTTTATAAGGTAGTGTATATATGTAATTCTTAAAACATTTGATGTACAGTGTACAAAACTGCTGAATTCTCATAATTTTTAGAAGCTTGAATATCTGCTAATGGGTCTCTTTATACAACAGAACAGGTGCCATTCATTGAATTATACTTTACAAAAATAATTTTATCTCAATTTTAATTTTGGAATCAGTTTATCTTGATTACCAATTGGTGAAAACGTACTGCCACATTCATGCTTCTCTGCCCTCCTTAATATATAAGCTTTCTATCATACTACTCTGCCTTCCTATATATATAAGCTTTCTATCTTGCTACTCTGCCTTCCTTGATATATAAGCTTTCTATCATACTTCTCTGCCCTCCTTAATAAATAAGCTTTCTATCATACTACTCTGCCCTCCTTAATATATAAGCTTTCTATCATACTACTCTGCCCTCCTTAATAAATAAGCTTTCTATCATACTACTCTGCCCTCCTATATATATAAGCTTTCTATCATTCTTCTCTGCCTTCCTCGATATATAAGCTTTCTATCATACTTCTCTGCCCTCCTTAATATATAAGCTTTCTATCATACTACTCTGCCCTCCTTAATATATAAGCTTTCTATCATACTACTCTGCCCTCCTTAATATATAAGCTTTCAATCATACTACTCTGCCCTCCTTAATATATAAGCTTTCTATCATATTACTCTGCCCTCCTATATATATAAGCTTTCTATCATACTTCTCTGCCTTCCTTGATATATAAGCTTTCTATTATACTACTCTGCCCTCCTTAATATATAAGCTTTCTATCATACTACTCTGCCCTCCTTAATATATAAGCTTTCTATCATACTACTCTGCCCTCCTTAATATATAAGTTTTCAATCATACTACTCTGCCCTCCTTAATATGTAAGCTTTCTATCATACTACTCTGCCTTCCTTGATATATAAGCTTTCTATCATACTTCTCTGCCCTCCTTAATATATAAGCTTTCTATCATACTACTCTGCCCTCCTTAATATATAAGCTTTCTATCATACTACTCTGCCCTCCTTAATATATAAGCTTTCTATCATACTACTCTGCCCTCCTTAATATATAAGATTTCTATCATACTACTCTTCCCTCCTTAATATGTAAGCTTTCTATCATACTACTCTGCCTTCCTTGATATATAAGCTTTCTATCATACTTCTCTGCCCTCTTTAATATATAAGCTTTCTATTATACTACTCTGCCCTCCTTAATATGTAAGCTTTCTATCATACTTATCTGCCCTCCTTAATATATAAGCTTTCTATCATACTACTCTGCCCTCCTTAATATGTAAGCTTTCTATCATACTACTCTGCCCTCCTTAATATGTAAGCTTTCTATCATACTTCTCTGCCCTCATAAATATATAAGCTTTCTATCATACTACTCTGCCCTCCTTAATATATAAGCTTTCTATCATACTACTCTGCCCTCCTTAATATGTAAGCTTTCTATCATACTACTCTGCCCTCCTTAATATATAAGCTTTCTATCATACTTCTCTGCCCTTCTTAAGATATAAGCTTTCTATCATACTTCTCTGCCCTCCTTAAGATATAAGCTTTCTATCATACTATTCTGCCCTCCTTAATATATAAGCTTTCTATTATACTACTCTGCCCTCCTTAATATATAAGCTTTCTATCCATAACTTGGTATTAATGACTTTCTTCCTTATTTTCAGTGCTTACCTCCTGTGCTAAAGGACTTGGAAGAGCTTAGGGAGTTCTATGACCCAGATACTGTAGAGCTTATGGATTGGATAAAGTAGGTGCAGATTACTGTTTGACTGTCACTTTATTTGATTTGATTTGAGTGGATTCTGTAAATTTGTCATTGTATTAATAAATACATACAATAAGAAAAAGAAGTTGTCCTGAAATAACCGAAATTTGTACATCTTGGCCTTAAACTCCCAATTTTCCAGGTTGATTTTTTCAAAAATTTAGATTCCTGTGTTGTATAAAAAAGGTTCCAGATTTCATTCCGGGTTTCATTCCGAGTTCAAATTTTATTCCAAATTCCATTTTTTGGGTTCAACACAAACAAAGGCCAACGCAAACCGACTAGCAAATAATCCAGTTGTACACATAATTTAAGAGTTGGGAATTAAACCACATTCATTTTAAATGATATACATTGTGGGCCAAAAAAAACAATTCCCAACATGAACAATTCATATGATACTGTATATGTTAAACCATGCCATGTATTATATACCATTTTAAAGATAAATCATCTAACAATATAAAACCATCCAATTGAAAAACCTTTGTTTTCTTGTGGAGTTACAGGCTAAAATTGAAACCAGAGGTACCACAAGTAACCGAAAATCAAAAAATCAAACAGAACAGTAGGTTTTCTATTATATGGTGTCATATTGTTAGGAAATGATTTATCTTTTTTGGCCCACCCTATATATATATTTCAATCCATATTATGTAAGTAAATAGGCTTCATGTATTTTTCAGTCATGTTCATTGAGTTTTGATATTTTGATAGGAATATTGTTACTAGTCACATTTTGAGACCTTCAGCTGACTAAAACCAAAAAGGAATGAAAAGTACCACTGAGAAAAGACAATTCTGGGCTGTAAAGAAACAAATCATGTTTTTTGTCTATTTTTCCAGATTTTTTGATTTTTTCCAGGCCACTAAAAAAATTCTCATTGTTTTTTGTAATTTTTTCTGAGTTAACAACTTTCTGTCCGGGTTGGTGGGTAAAATTCCGGGTAATCCAGATAAAATATCGGGCAGAGAGTTGAGGGCCAATTAACACCAAGATTTGATTAGGTTTTGGGCATGCTAGGTAAAGCACTTGGTGGCTATTTTGAGTTTTACAATTAAAAAGTATGACATTTATCACTGTGTATCTTGTTTATATATATGTGCATCCAGATAAGCTACTCCTGTATTGTATATGTGCATGTTCCAGGAAGTCCACTCCTAAATATGAAGTGTTCTGTATTGTATATGTGCATGTTCCAGGAAGGCCACTCCTAAATATGAAGTGTTCTGTATTGCATATGTGCATGTTCCAGGAAGGCCACTCCTAAATATGAAGTGTTCTGTATTGTATATGTGCATGTTCCAGGAAGTCCACTCCTAAATATGAAGTGTTCTGTATTGTATATGTGCATGTTCCAGGAAGGCCACTCCTAAATATGAAGTGTTCTGTATTGCATATGTGCATGTTCCAGGAAGGCCACTCCTAAATATGAAGTGTTCTGTATTGTATATGTGCATGTTCCAGGAAGTCCACTCCTAAATATGAAGTGTTCTGTATTGTATATGTGCATGTTCCAGGAAGGCCACTCCTAAATATGAAGTGTTCTGTATTGCATATGTGCATGTTCCAGGAAGGCCACTCCTAAATATGAAGTGTTCTGTATTGTATATGTGCATGTTCCAGGAAGGCCACTCCTAAATATGAAGTGTTCTGTATTGCATATGTGCATGTTCCAGGAAGGCCACTCCAAAATATGAAGTGTTCTGTATTGCATATGTGCATGTTCCAGGAAGGCCACTCCTAAATATGAAGTGTTCTGTATTGTATATGTGCATGTTCCAGGAAGGCCACTCCTAAATATGAAGTGTTCTGTATTGTATATGTGCATGTTCCAGGAAGGCCACTCCTAAATATGAAGTGTTCTGTATTGCATATGTGCATGTTCCAGGAAGGCCACTCCTAAATATGAAGTGTTCTGTATGGCATATGTGCATGTTCCAGGAAGGCCACTCCTAAATATGAAGTGTTCTGTATTGCATATGTGCATGTTCCAGGAAGGCCACTCCTAAATATGAAGTGTTCTGTATGGCATATGTGCATGTTCCAGGAAGGCCACTCCTAAATATGAAGTGTTCTGTATTGCATATGTGCATGTTCCAGGAAGGCCACTCCAAAATATGAAGTGTTCTGTATTGCATATGTGCATGTTCCAGGAAGGCCACTCCTAAATATGAAGTGTTCTGTATTGCATATGTGCATGTTCCAGGAAGGCCACTCCTAAATATGAAGTGTTCTGTATTGTATATGTGCATGTTCCAGGAAGGCCACTCCTAAATATGAAGTGTTCTGTATTGCATATGTGCATGTTCCAGGAAGGTCACTCCTAAATATGAAGTGTTCTGTATTGTATATGTGCATGTTCCAGGAAGGCCACTCCTAAATATGAAGTGTTCTGTATTGCATATGTGCATGTTCCAGGAAGGCCACTCCTAAATATGAAGTGTTCTGTATTGTATATGTGCATGTTCCAGGAAGGCCACTCCTAAATATGAAGTGTTCTGTATTGCATATGTGCATGTTCCAGGAAGGCCACTCCAAAATATGAAGTGTTCTGTATTGCATATGTGCATGTTCCAGGAAGGCCACTCCTAAATATGAAGTGTTCTGTATTGCATATGTGCATGTTCCAGGAAGGCCACTCCTAAATATGAAGTGTTCTGTATTGCATATGTGCATGTTCCAGGAAGGCCACTCCTAAATATGAAGTGTTCTGTATTGCATATGTGCATGTTCCAGGAAGGCCACTCCAAAATATGAAGTGTTGTGTATTGCATATGTGCATGTTCCAGGAAGGCCACTCCTAAATATGAAGTGTTCTGTATTGCATATGTGCATGTTCCAGGAAGGCCACTCCTAAATATGAAGTGTTCTGTATTGCATATGTGCATGTTCCAGGAAGGCCACTCCTAAATATGAAGTGTTCTGTATTGCATATGTGCATGTTCCAGGAAGGCCACTCCTAAATATGAAGTGTTCTGTATTGTATATGTGCATGATCCAGGAAGGCCACTCCTAAATATGAAGTGTTCTGTATTGTATATGTGCATGTTCCAGGAAGGCCACTTCTAAATATGAAGTGTTCTGTATTGTATATGTGCATGTTCCAGGAAGGCCACTCCAAAATATGAAGTGTTCTGTATTGCATATGTGCATGTTCCAGGAAGGCCACTCCTAAATATGAAGTGTTCTGTATTGCATATGTGCATGTTCCAGGAAGGCCACTCCAAAATATGAAGTGTTCTGTATTGCATATGTGCATGTTCCAGGAAGGCCACTCCTAAATATGAAGTGTTCTGTATTGCATATGTGCATGTTCCAGGAAGGCCACTCCTAAATATGAAGTGTTCTGTATTGCATATGTGCATGTTCCAGGAAGGCCGCTCCTAAATATGAAGTGTTCTGTATTGTATATGTGCATGTTCCAGGAAGGCCACTCCTAAATATGAAGTGTTCTGTATTGCATATGTGCATGTTCCAGGAAGGCCACTCCAAAATATGAAGTGTTCTGTATTGCATATGTGCATGTTCCAGGAAGGCCACTCCTAAATATGAAGTGTTCTGTATTGCATATGTGCATGTTCCAGGAAGGCCACTCCTAAATATGAAGTGTTCTGTATTGTATATGTGCATGTTCCAGGAAGGCCACTCCAAAATATGAAGTGTTCTGTATTGCATATGTGCATGTTCCAGGAAGGCCACTCCTAAATATGAAGTGTTCTGTATTGTATATGTGCATGATCCAGGAAGGCCACTCCTAAATATGAAGTGTTCTGTATTGTATATGTGCATGTTCCAGGAAGGCCACTTCTAAATATGAAGTGTTCTGTATTGTATATGTGCATGTTCCAGGAAGGCCACTCCAAAATATGAAGTGTTCTGTATTGCATATGTGCATGTTCCAGGAAGGCCACTCCTAAATATGAAGTGTTCTGTATTGCATATGTGCATGTTCCAGGAAGGCCACTCCAAAATATGAAGTGTTCTGTATTGCATATGTGCATGTTCCAGGAAGGCCACTCCTAAATATGAAGTGTTCTGTATTGCATATGTGCATGTTCCAGGAAGGCCGCTCCTAAATATGAAGTGTTCTGTATTGTATATGTGCATGTTCCAGGAAGGCCACTCCTAAATATGAAGTGTTCTGTATTGCATATGTGCATGTTCCAGGAAGGCCACTCCAAAATATGAAGTGTTCTGTATTGCATATGTGCATGTTCCAGGAAGGCCACTCCTAAATATGAAGTGTTCTGTATTGCATATGTGCATGTTCCAGGAAGGCCACTCCTAAATATGAAGTGTTCTGTATTGTATATGTGCATGTTCCAGGAAGGCCACTCCAAAATATGAAGTGTTCTGTATTGCATATGTGCATGTTCCAGGAAGGCCACTCCTAAATATGAAGTGTTCTGTATTGTATATGTGCATGTTCCAGGAAGGCCACTCCTAAATATGAAGTGTTCTGTATTGCATATGTGCATGTTCCAGGAAGGCCACTCCTAAATATGAAGTGTTCTGTATTGCATATGTGCATGTTCCAGGAAGGCCACTCCAAAATATGAAGTGTTCTGTATTGCATATGTGCATGTTCCAGGAAGGCCACTCCTAAATATGAAGTGTTCTGTATTGCATATGTGCATGTTCCAGGAAGGCCACTTCTTAATATGAAGTGTTCTGTATTGTATATGTGCATGTTCCAGGAAGGCCACTCCTAAATATGAAGTGTTCTGTATTGCATATGTGCATGTTCCAGGAAGGCCACTCCTAAATATGAAGTGTTCTGTATTGTATATGTGCATGTTCCAGGAAGGCCACTCCTAAATATGAAGTGTTCTGTATTGCATATGTGTATGTTCCAGGAAGGCCACTCCAAAATATGAAGTGTTCTGTATTGCATATGTGCATGTTCCAGGAAGGCCACTCCTAAATATGAAGTGTTCTGTATTGCATATGTGCATGTTCCAGGAAGGCCACTCCTAAATATGAAGTGTTCTGTATTGTATATGTGCATGTTCCAGGAAGGCCACTCCTAAATATGAAGTGTTCTGTATTGCATATGTGCATGTTCCAGGAAGGTCACTCCTAAATATGAAGTGTTCTGTATTGCATATGTGCATGTTCCAGGAAGGCCACTCCTAAATATGAAGTGTTCTGTATTGTATATGTGCATGTTCCAGGAAGGCCACTCCTAAATATGAAGTGTTCTGTATTGCATATGTGCATGTTCCAGGAAGGCCACTCCTAAATATGAAGTGTTCTGTATTGTATATGTGCATGTTCCAGGAAGGCCACTCCTAAATATGAAGTGATCTGTATTGTATATGTGCATGTTCCAGGAAGGCCACTCCTAAATATGAAGTGTTCTGTATTGCATATGTGCATGTTCCAGGAAGGCCACTCCTAAATATGAAGTGTTCTGTATTGTATATGTGCATGTTTTAGGAAGTCCACTCCTAAATATGAAGTGTTCTGTATTGTATATGTGCATGTTCCAGGAAGGCCACTCCTAAATATGAAGTGTTCTGTATTGCATATGTGCATGTTACAGGAAGGCCACACCTAAATATGAAGTGTTCTGTATTGTATATGTGCATGTTCCAGGAAGTCCACTCCTAAATATGAAGTGTTCTGTATTGTATATGTGCATGTTCCAGGAAGGCCACACCTAAATATGAAGTGTTCTGTATTGTATATGTGCATGTTCCAGGAAGTCCACTCCTAAATATGAAGTGTTCTGTATTGTATATGTGCATGTTCCAGGAAGGCCACTCCTGAATATGAAGTGTTCTGTATTGCATATGTGCATGTTCCAGGAAGGCCACTCCAAAACAGGCAGTGTTCTCAGGCAGCATGCAACTTTTGGCAGGAGTCAAGTTGTGCACTGGAAGATCTCTGACCAATCACCCTCACTATGAAGATAAACAACTCAGAGAGAGAACAAAAGAGGTAGAGTGTTGCGTTTTCCAATATATTCCAACTTTTGGTTGTTCTGCACAATACATGTAGCTACAAATTGTCATAATACATGCACAATAACTACAAATTGTCATAATACATGCACAATAACTCTGATAGCAGTAGGTAGTTACCAGTCAGGTCAGATAGTATAGTGGGTAGAGTAGAAAGTTCCCTTTAACTTAAATATTTATCAGTTTTAGTTGTTTAATTTCATATCACCCTTATTTATCTAGTAGTTATTCAAATAAAAATATGTTCAGTAAAAGAAAAAATTATCTGTCCAATACAAGAAAAGATATTTCACTTTTTGTGATCTAATAACGCGGGTCTATGGGGAATCTTTCCAAACTCAAAGTTACATTTTCAAAAAAATTAAATATTTAAAGTTGATAAACAATATTCGGTACCATATTTCTAAATGTACTTTTACATGTATATTTTATAAATATTTAATGATTTCAATTATTATTTGACTGAACTCATCTGCAAAAGTCAGTTTCCCTGTTAGTAAACTTGACGATAGGCCTAACTTTAATTGATAATTATCGAACGAAGTTCGGAGGGATATAGGGAACGCCTCCGTCTGTCCGTCCGTACGTCCATCCGGGCAATAACTCAAATACCGTTGGCCCGATTTTGTTCATATTTTGTACACATATACCCAATGGGGGTAGAAGTTCTGCTGGAAAACGGATTTTCAAAATGGCCGCTCATTTAAAAATGGCGGCCATTTTAGTGCCGATTTTACAGTTATTTAGGTACTGCATATAAAACTGTAATAGCAATATTTTTTAAATGTAAAAAAGTTATATAGTACATTGATTAAGCTAGAAATGTAAATACAGAAGAAATGCATGGCAGCCATCTTGAGAAATGGCTGCCTTTGCACGTCTTTTTACAATTTTTGCTGTAACTTGAAAAATAGTGGAGCGATTTTGTTCATATTTGGTATGTGAATACTTTAAGCATAACACAATGTCTATTGACATTTTTGGTAGTAGGCGGCCATTTTTCAAAATGGCCGCCATTTTTACGTGTGTTATTTAACATTTTTTACTGTAAGTCAAAAAGTAGTTGAGCGATTTTGCTCATATTTGGTATGTGAATACTTTAAGCATGGCCGAATGTCTAATGACATTTTGGGTAGCCATTTTTACGTGCGTTATTTTTTCATTTTTATTATAACTCAAAAAGTAGTAAAGCGATTTTGTTCATATTTTATATGTGAATACTATAAGCATGGCACACTGTCTAATGACACTTTGGGTAGTAGGCGGCCATTTTGAAAAATGGCCACCATTTTTTACGTTTTTTACTATAACTTGAAAAGTAGTGGAGCGATTTTGTTCAGATTTGATATGTGAATACTTATGAACCTTGCACACTGTCTCATGACACTTCGCGTAGAAGGTGGCGATTTTAAAAAATGGCCATCATTTTTACATTTTTTGCTATAACTCCAAAAGTATTGGAGTGATTTTGTTCATATTTGATATGTGAATACTTTTAACATGGCACATTGTCTAATAAAACTTTGGGGAGTAGTGGGCCCTTTTGAAAAATTTATGTGTGTTATTTTACATTTTTATTATAATTCAAAAAGTAATAGAGCAATTTTGTTCATATTTGATATGTGAATACTCGTAAGGATTGCATACTGTCTTATGACATTTTGGGTAGTAGGCGCCGGCGGCCATTTTAAGGAATGGCCAGCATTTACATGTATGCATGGGCGATTTTTTAAAAATTTTATATGTGGCTACTCAAAAGCATATTACTTCTTCTGATGACAACTTGGCTAGTGAGCAACCATTTTGAAAATGGTGGCCTTTCTTATGTGTGTTATTTTAAGATATTTGCTATATATTTTGTTTGTAAAATGCCAGCCATTCCTGTTCGATGGGATTGGCTACACTTTGGCGTTGCCGTTGTTCTGGTTATACCAACGAAAGAAGTTGCTATGTTAGTGTCAGCACCATGAGTGGTGACATATTTTTATAGACTCCAACTTTTTTGTGGCTGGTGTTCAGCATCTGAAACAGTGTTATCAATGAAGTTGACATATCATTTACCAATACTAATCAAATTTTATAAACTGTACTTGCATACAAAATGTATTTTTATTTGCTTCTATATCTAGTTATACCAGTACTATGGAAAACGATCTCCAGATGATGTTTATAAGATTATGAAGAAATATGATGTAGGCTACATAATACTTGAAGACAGTATATGCTTGGCCAGGAAGTCTGACCATTGTACCACCACTGATATCATCAATATAGACAATGGCTATGTAAGTAAAATATAATGTAGGCTACATAATACTTGAAGACAGTATATGCTTGGCCAGGAAGTCTGACCATTGTACCACCACTGATATCATCAATATAGACAATGGCTATGTAAGTAAAATATAATGTAGGCTACATAATACTTGAAGACAGTATATGCTTGGCCAGGAAGTCTGACCATTGTACCACCACTGATATCATCAATATAGACAATGGCTATGTAAGTAAAATATGATGTAGGGTACATAATACTTGAAGACAGTATATGCTTGGCCAGAAAGTCTGACCATTGTACAACCACTGATATCATCAATATAGACAATGGCTATGTAAGTAAAGTACAGTTAAACATATGTCTAATCTGAATGCCTCCGGCAACTAGCCAAATGTATTTCAAGTACAGGTTGGACTACAATATGCGATAAAGAATTATACTACAGTGTAGTCATGCTTTTGCTTTGTACAATGTCTCTATCAACTGATATGATTCAGGCTTGATTTACCCTATAATCTTTAAAAGTCACATGTGTCAGGTGAATATACTCGTTACATCATTAATATAAATCTATTAATACTAATAAGAAAAGTGTGTGTTTTGATTTCAATCATTTCTTCTAAGCAGAATAAAACACAATGTTTCCTCTTATATTTCCAGATACCAGAAGATGGAACAAGGTTTCCAGGTTCAGTTAAAGCTAAATATCCATCCTTTTGTGATGAAGTTAGGCATGGTCATGGAAAATATGGAAAATACTTTAAACTAGTATTTGAGAACAGAACGTTTAGAGTGTACAAAATAATGCATTGACTCTAAAACGAAATTAAAACAAGGACGTTTATGAACTCTGCCATAAGAAACCTTTCCACAACAGTTATAAAAAAACTCCACCCATAAATTATAATAAAAAACTCCACCTATGAATGATTATTAGAAATTCCACCTATGAACAATTATACGAAACTCCACCTATGAACAATTATGAGAAACACCACCTATGAACAATTATGAGAAACACCACCTATGAACAATTATGGGAAACACCACTATGAATGAAAAACTGAAATTTAATAAAAAGCTCCACAATTCTCCATAATGGAACAATTGAACAATGCACTAATTTCTCACTAAGCAATGCAGTGATGTCCTACTAAGCATGCACATTAATATGCCACTAAGCAATGCATTAATTTGCCACTAAGCAATGCAGTGATGTCCTTCTAGGTAGTGCATTGATATGCCACTAAGCAATGCATCGTGCATTAATTTGCCACTAAGCAATGCATTATTGTGCCACAAAGCAATGCATTAATGTGCCACTAAGCAATGGATTATGCATTGATATGCCACTAAGCAGTGCACTTATGTGCCACTAAGCAATGCATTAATATACAATTCATGACCAAAACAACAACATAAAACAAAAGGAATTCTAATGTGAAAAATGTTGATGGTATGATTTTTGATATTTTGTTAACTTTGATAAGGAAATACAAAAATTGCTCTACATGTGTGCTATCACATGAAAGTCATAAGATAAATCCTGTTATCTGCATAATCAACTCAAGGGTCAAGCATCAGCAAGGAATCCATGGAGCCAATCCTCATTTGATCAAATGCAATAGCCTATCCAGAAAAGGAATTATTTTTAAAAATTGTTAGATTTTATCATTTACAAAATATTTATCCAACTGTTAATTATTATCCTCCAGTTTATAATGTTATGTCTATTTCTTCCGTGAGTACTGTGATATTAATATGATGTCCTCGATGTTATGGCATTTATTCAGGAATATTAGAAATTCTACTACAACATGTGTGAAGTCTGTATTTGTGAACATCTCTCTCTTAAGTAAAGTGAACACCTCAGAATGTGAACACTTAACAATGAGAAAATGTAAATTATTAAACAGGGGGACATTAACAGGAACTTCGTAAAGTTACGATTTCATGAATCAATTGTTGTAACCATGGACTATAATGATGTCACAGTTAGAGAACAATGGACTTTACGAATTCATAACTCTACAAAGTTTCTGTTAATGTCCCCCTGAATCTTTTGAATTTGCATTTGATTAACATTTTAAATCAGTTAAATATTTTATATTTATTATATGTTGTTAGACTAGTTGGCCATAGTGAGCCAGCTGGACATTATTTGAAAGAATTTTCCATGAAACACAGAATTTATTTTATTTATATAATAATAATATTTAAATAATAAATATGTCATATAGCCTGTAGATTTGGGTAGGTGGGCTTGTTTGAAATATGCTTCTCAAGAATCTCAACTAGAACTCCTAACTTACAATAATGAAGTTAGTTTGCTTTTGTCCTGGAGAATGGAGAATTATGCAATAAATGGCAGAATGGCTTGGCATTATTTTGGCCAATGTTAAAACTCGCCAAGAAGTGCGGGTAATGAAAATTAAGAATTATATGTAGCTTAAATTCTTCACCTTTTGAACATATTTTATTTGTGTATAACCATCTTATTCAGTATATTGTGCTTCCATTAAGGCCAAATCATATTAAATTTGTTTTTACTGTCAGTCATGTATTGAACAAAATATTTAGAATTTTATGTATTTTATTTTATTTATAAGGGACCAGGTCAATATTTTAATGTTGATCCAATATACAAGTCATCCCCCTGAAGTACATTTACTTGTGTTAATTTGATTTTTTCAAATTTAATGTTGTAAGATGCATCCAAGAACAATCCCCTGAAAAGATAATTAACTTGGTTCATGGGTATACATTATGATATCAACATTGTCCCTTGACTGTTTAACAGTCGTTTATGTAGTATGAATTAGATATAATATGAATTGTGTTGGACACTTGACACTTTATATAATAACATTAATGGTGTTGGACACTTGACACTTTAATTATTCAACTTATGTAGGGATTACAAAATGCAGCTGTCTTATCTAGATTATTGAGGAGAGGAATTGTGATGAACAAAACATGGCACAGAGTTTGTCCACAGTCCAATGTTTGTAAATAAGTTATTTTAGAAGGGGAAGGTCTATTCATTCTAAATCCATTTAGAAAAACATATTTCAAGAGAAACCTAATGAAAGAATGTATTTTTTTTAAATGTTGTTTGTATTCCTTGTTTAGAATTTAACAGCTTCTATGTTGTTTGAAATGTTATAAGGTGTTTTAAATACTTAATTATGTCAATAAATGAATATGTTATGAATAAGTATTGTGTTAATTTTCTACCACTAAAACTATTACATTATGTAGTTTGGATTTTCAAATGTTGTCATTTATTTCCCCGAATGTTGCCATTTATTCTCAGAATGTTTATTCCCCGAATGTTGCCATTTATTCGCTGAATGTTGCCATTTATTCCCTGAATTTTGCCATTTATTCACAGAATGTTTATTCCCCGAATATTGCCATTTATTCACAGAATGTTTATTCCCTGAATGTTGCCATTTATTCGCTGAATGTTGCCATTTATTCCCTGAATTTTGCCATTTATTCCCTGAATGTTGCCATTTATTCACAGGATGTTTATTTCCCAAATGTTGCCATTTATTCCCTGAATGTTGCCATTTATTCCCTGAATGTTGCCATTTATTCCCTGAATGTTGCCATTTATTCCCTGAATGTTACCATTTATTCCTGAATGTTGCCATTTATTCGCTGAATGTTGCCATTTATTCGCTGAATGTTGCCATTTATTCCCTGAAAGTTGCCATTTATTCCCTGAATGTTGCCATTTATTCCCCGATTGTTGAACCCGAACATCTGACATAAGAGCTGAGTTCTGCATTTAAATGAAGCTTTCTTTTAGGACGCTAAGTCAAAAGATATTGGGTAGTGGACTTACAACCTAGATAACTTTGAAATATCATGTCCTGAAATATTCAAATATCTTTAACAGACAAGTTTCTTTTAATTGACTATATACATTATATTTACTATGTTTCATTTTATGGTACAATAAGGGATTCTTCACATCAATGAAACCCTTTATAATCCTAATTATTCTCCAACACACAGTAGAAAAGTTGGAACTAAATATATATACATATATCACTATCTATGGTATCACAAATTTTAGACATTTATTGTGTAGATTAGAACCTGTATATCCAGACACTTCTCTAAAATGTTCACCTCTCTGTTTGAATCCTTTTAGGTTTCCTTTTTATCTGCCATGTTAAAAAAAAAACTGTTCACTGTTTGCTTCTAAGAATCTAAGAAAACATAAACATACTAGTATATCTTCAATATCTACAAAACATTAGATACAAAAACTGAACTAAAATCAAAAAAATGTCCAATTAAACTGACTTTTCTCCCATTTCCTTTATTTTTATAAATTTCATGAAATACTTTTTCACATTACAAGTATACATTTATTTAACCAATCGATGACTAGCGACATCTACATGTTCTGGATGGGTGATGCAAACAAGTGTTTCATGGGCCTAATGTTGCTTCAATCTGTTGAAGAAAAAAAACTGAGGTGGAAATGAAAGCATTCTTTTCATTTGTTATTGTATTTGTGACATCATTCATGTAGGTGATGTGAGTAATGTGTATTATATTGATGATGTCATTTTATGTGTGGTTGTGATGTAATGAGTATATTATACATTTTCAACTTTCCTTAATATTTACAGTTTACTGGCATTTTTAAAAAATTGATGCAAGTTTGTTATGAAATGTCAATGGTTGCAAAAGAGATATCGTTGGGAAAATATTGATTTTTACTGTTATTAAAATCAAAATTCCAACAAAATATAAATATCATCACACTACTGAATGCAAGTTCTATACAGATAACAGAAACATATATTCCTGTAGATCTTAAATAACCTCTGGCAGTATGTTACATGGCTCTTAATTTAGCAAGTCTTTGTGATAGTTCATCTTGTTCCTGTGAGGCTGCACTGGCTGTACCTACAGTCGACGATTGTACAGAGGGGAGGTCCATGTTCAACTCAAGTCTGAAATAAGATAAATTAATAAAAGGTTTATAATAGTCTAAGCTCTTTATATCTTTTGTTCGAATCTCTGCAGAAATTAACCCATTGTGATTTTATGAATATATTGGTTGTTTCAAATGAAAAATCCACCCGAGCAAGTTCATTGGTCACTTTTTATCACCCCACACCGAGGGGGAAACAGGGGGCAAAGCAAAAAAATACTCTTCGTATGCCACCATTAAATAAGTTTATACAATCAGCAGATATAACGAAAATTGTTTTCAATGTTTTTTAATTAATATTTCCTTGCAAAATCAATATTTTAATCACTTAATGTCCAGTGATGCTCAATGTTGGTAACATGGATTTTGGAGATATTTTATCAAAATTCTAAGATTTTTCATATCTATTGATGAAAAATTCAAGAATAGAGCTCTGATATCACTGTATAAGTTCAATGAATTTCAAATCGTAAGAATAATTAATAAGTGAGAAAGAATTTTTTATCCCACTCAGCTAAGAAGCAAGATGGAGGGGGGGGGGTAGTCCAGGATCTTCACCTTTTTTGTTTGAATCACTGCAGAAATTAAGCCATTAATATTTCATGAATGTTTTGATTTAAAATGAAAAATCCACCTCTTGTATGAGACTGTCCACTTCACCCTGAGGTGCAGTCAGAGTTGATGTGTTGCTCACAGTAGATTCACTTACCCGTGTTCATCAGCCACTTCATGCATTAGACTATCCACTTCACCTTGTGGTGCAGTCAGAGTTGATGTGTTACTCACAGTAGATTCACTTACCCGTGTTCATCAGCCACTTCATGCATTAGACTATCCACTTCACCTTGTGGTGCAGTCAGAGTTGATGTGTTGCTCATGGTAGATTCCATGACCTGGGATTGCACATCTAAGTTCTCAAATTGCTGTTCGAATCTGTCCATAAGTTGTGACACCTACAAGGAAATATATTAATTAGAAAATGTAGGGAGGGGTTTATCAGGATTTTAAAACAACTGAATATGGATCTGTTTCTGTTTTTTTTTCTAAAATATGTAGAAAATCAGTTTTATTTGCTCCAATCGAAATATAATATTCATGAATCTGTATGAATGCCACAATGTAATGTTAACCATCTACTCTACCCTTGATTAAATTGGTATACATGTATATTAAAAGACATACAATAGAGATATATTAGAATATCCACCTACTTAAGCATTTGGATGACTAATTATTAGTTTCAATATTCCACAATTTGAGAAATTTTTAAGAAATCTCTAAGTAAAAGCAAATTCCTGCTCTAGGCAGCCTTTTTGGATTTTCTGAGTCACAAATCAGAAAAACAATACCATAATTGTGATCGTCTTAAGAATTCCTTTAATTTGAGTATTATATAGCCATATTTAAGGGAGGCATCAAAAGTTCAATGTAGGACTGAAACTCAATAAATCTAGTAAGGGGGGGGGGGTCAAAGCCATATCAGTTTGCTATCCGACAGATTTCAACATTTCAAATTTTTTGCAATTTTGACTCGGAACATCCCCCTAAGCAGGTATCCAGAATCCCAATTGAACTGAATCACATGATCTAATTATGCGCAACGACTTATACATGATTTCTGTGGAAGTGTTGCGACAGCCAATCAGATTGCGGCTTCTCAATCGGGGAAATGCTAACTGCTTATCGCAGGGGGTAAAAAGAAAGAATATATTCTGGATTTTGAAGCCCTGTGATCAGAGGATGGACTCGGAATGCCCTGGAATGTTTTAAAAACGACTGATTAACAAAATTTCAAACAATAATATTGGTTTAAAATGAAAAACTTCGGATTTTTGCGAAAAATTCCTACCATTTCTAAAGCAGCAGCCATCTAACAGTAATGGAGAATGAACAAATTATTCAAATAGTTAGCCATTACATCTGTTTAGCTCTTGATATTTTAGATTAACCCCCCCCCCCAAAGGCCTCTAACATTTTTCACCATCCATATTATGGACCAAATCTATTGTATTTCCACTATTTCCAGTTTGACATGTTTTGTATATTGCCGACAATTTTGAAAAATGTAGGCAATAATATTGTATTGTATTTTTATATATTATATATGGAATAAATGAGAAATGAAAGAAAAAAATAATGAAATCAAAAGGGATATGAAGATACCCAATGTTAGTCAAAGGTGCATCTTCTCATGTTAAGTCAATAACGCAATCTTAATATTCTCAGGAGAAAGATAGTAATTTGTATTCTAAATTCCTAAATACCCAAATTTTGTAGCATAATGGGGTCACTATCACTCTCTCAGCCTTTTTTGGCTCAAACTCTTAAACATTCTCCAAAATAAACTGATCTGACATTAAATAAGTTATTGTAAACCTAAACATAATCAATTTTGGTGATAGGGGTATTTGTCATTTTGATATTGATTTTCATAAAATTAATAAATGACCCCTTGGCGATAAAAGGATTTATATATAATTCACTAAAAATTTGAATGGAGGTCAGATTCTTAGAGCTACCCTTTCAGCTTTCCAATGATGTGAACCTTAGTGCAGATGTGGTCATTTATATCACCCGAGTTTGCTTTACCAGTACTCTTAATATTACTAGTTGGATCGAAAAAATGAACAAGGCACAGGGATGGCCGCCAAAAAGTTAATCAGCTCTAGAACATTCTAACCATGTAACATGTGTAAAAATCTGAAGTACTCTGTCAAATTGTTTTCCTGGCATTGCGATGACAAGAAGATTGATACGCTGCCACACACCAAGCTGACGACATTATCATACTTTTTTTAGGTATGATGAAAATACATTCACTCACTGTTTTTAAAGGGTTCAAAAGCACCAATTTCACAGTGAAAAGTATTGTGTCCCTTTGAAATATTGGTTTCTAAGCTAGCACAGAAACAATTAGAGGATATGATACAAAATAGATATTACCCTTATTTTGGTGAAAATGAGATTAAGATTAATATACTGGTTCATTTGATATTGAATTCACATGTTATTGAAAATGGAAAATCCTTTAAAAGACTTTTGAAATTAACTTATGGCAACCCATTGATTACCACCATGGGTATATGGAAATTAAGAGGAGTCAAGAGATACCATTAAACAGAATCAGATGTGATTTGTCCCTTCGCTCCCAGTTCCATGCTCACAACTTTACTACTGTTGATTCGCCTGTTTGTTTATGTGGCATAGAATCTGAAACGTTGAGACATTTTTTCTCCAAATGTAATCTAACAAGGCCAACCATGAAAACTTTGTTCGGTGAAGTCCTACATAATTTCCCAGAAATCAACTTTAAAGACATGCCCAACTTGAAAAAAATACATATCCTGCTCAATGGTTGCGACAGGATGAGCAAAGCAATAAACATAGAATTGGTAAAACTATTGTCATCTCACCTAGAGACCATAAGTAATCAAAGATAGAATACTATATGGCCTATTGAACAGCCCCTTTCAGTCACACACATACAAAAAAAAGGAAAATAATACTGATGGTATATGGGAATTTGCAGTGTTTGCCACTGCAGACCAAAATATTAAAATGTGTCTTACTCATGCATTTAAGGTTTTGTCGTAAGATTGAAATGCGATTTCAACTTACCTTTTCTAGATTCATAGACTTCATTGCACCCTCCATGGACTTAACCACACCTGCCATTGATCCTGTCACCTAAACAAAAACAAGCATTGTTCATTAATGTGTTCAGATTGGTGAACTGTAGAGGTGTTACTGTAGACCTTTTATGCAAAAGTTACACTTTGGGTTTGTTGACTCACTTGTTTCATAGTTACTGCAGTTTGAACCCTTTGTGCTACTGCATCGATTCTTGCACTCATCCGTCTAAAGTTCAATGCTTGGTTTTTCTGCCTTATAGCATTTTCAGCATGTATTTTAGCACCCTCCATGTTTCCTTTCTGTATGGCCTGAAATATTAAGAACCATGTGAACTTAGTGCATGCAGAGTATAGCATAGGGCTTTTTGATATATTGGTCAGTATTACATACCTAGAGAAGGATTTGTACTGATGTCAATGGGAAAAATGGCAGACTATATCCACCGATATTGCCCGATTACCCGGATACAGCCCCTTACCTCTTTTCTATATTATATTCTTTAATAACCATGACCATAAGTTCTACTCCCACATATATATGAGCGTCATTGATACAAAGTAGACATGGGAATAAAGGTATGTAATCCAGAGAGCCTATATTCTTGGGAGAACCCAGGCATATTTCATGTCATGGTGACATAACCTCTAAATATTGAAATATATATATAGACCAGCTGACATGTTGAGATCCTACATTAATTTAGAAGTGAATTTTATATTTGTATTTCACCAATACCTTGTGTGCATTTCACTCTCAATAACAGTCTTACCATGGATAACGACATTTGACATAGTGTATAAATTATAATTAGTTGCTTTTAGGGAGATTAGGTAACAGTAACAGACAGATATCTATAATACAGGGTGTCCAATAAATAAGGATGGAAAATACTGTAACGTTCTTAATATTGCAACAATCAGGAGGTAAAACTAACCTTTTCACAAGTTTTTTTGCAAATTTCAAAATTTTCCCATCCAACTGATCAGACTTACAGTTACTGTAGTAACCAAAACAACAAAAGTTGGGGCCGGTTTGTTTACGTCACAACTTTTCAATTTTTCAAAACATCTTTAATCTTTCTGGTAGATTCTCTTTCCATGTATATTAAGTGCCAAATGAAACAGTCCTGAAGTCCAATTGTTATGAAAATAGGCTATTCAACCAGCGAGATAAAATAAAGTCTCTGATTCAACATAATGTCCATCTTAAGCTACACACTTCTCATGCCTGGTCAACCATTCTCTGAACAAATTTTCAAAGCCATTCTTGTTCATTTCCTGAAGTCTTGCTAAGACATTTGATCTGAGTTCATCTGTCCTTGCAAATTTATTACTCCTCAAGTCACCCTTGAGTTCAGCATATAAACAAAACTTATTGGGTGCCAAGTCGGTGGAATAAAGAGGGGGTGATTAGTATAGTACCACTAGTGAGCCAAGCTGTGTGTGATGGGGCATTGTCTTTGTGAAGCAGAAACTTCTCTTCTGGGCGTGAGGTTCAATAAAATTTGTTATGAAAACAGTTGGAAAAGATATCTCAATGACATCATAAAATACAACAAAGAAGCATCACGCATCACAGAAGCCACCAAACAACCATATCACCTGACACCTCGGTAACATATGTATGCATCCAGTATCAATTGAATTTAATTTGTCTTTTTGCATTTCAAAATGCATCATTATCTTGGAAATTGTAAGATGACTGTAACTACAATTAATTGCTCTGCTTATATGTAGCAGCCATAACTCTGGCTAATCAAATAGGAAAAGCTTGAACTTTGCAGAATAAAGGTAAAAAGGTTTGGGTTACAACCTCTCTAAATTTCATCAAGATAGGTGCAACATTAAGAAAGATACAGTATTATAATGATCCTCGATAGCAAGTCGCTACTACAGTCTCGGCTGTAGTGGCTCGCCCCTTTAGCTGAATCGGTAGTGTCAGGCTTGAGAGTGGAAGATCCCCACACGGGGCACTGAATTGACCCTTGATAGGAATTCACTACTACGTGTACAGTCTCACCTGTAGTGGCTTTGCCCCTTTAGCTGAATCGGTAGTGTCAGGCTTGAGAGTGGAAGATCCCCACACGGGGCACTGAATAGGAATTCACTACTACAGTCTCACCTGTAGTGGCTAGCCCCTTTAGCTGAATTGGTAGTGTCAGGCTTGAGAGTGGAAGGTTCCCACACGGGGCACTGAATTGACCCTTGATAGGAATTCACTACTACAGTCTCACCTGTAGTGGCTAGCCCCTTTAGCTGAATCGGTAGTGTCAGGCTTGAGATTGGAAGATCCCCACACAGGGCACTGAATTGGCCCTTGATAGGAATTCACTACTACAGTCTCACCTGTAGTGGCTTTGCCCCTTTAGCTGAATCTGTAGAGTGTCAGGCTTGAGGTCTTGGGTTGAATCCCCACATGGGTCATTGAATTTAGCCCACTCCCTTTCAATTCTACTATCTGGCTGGTTACACTACAGCTCCCCAGATGGATGTACCCTCAGGTCGTTACAGTATCTTTCACATTATTTATTGGACACCATGTATGTAATAAATGATAAAATGTTAAAACTACTCAAATTGAATACTAGTACCTTCTTTAGTTTAGTTTTTTCTGTTTTTTCCTCCTTCTCACATTTTTTAGAATTTCGTTCTAAATTTTTTGCTGCAAACTTCAAATTGAAGAGGTGCTCTGTCAAAGGGTTAAGGTTAACTAGATAACAGCAACGCTAAGGTGCAGCAAATGCCATTGAATATCTATTGAGTGTCAGACAACACTGCTAGAAATCATGTCTCAAATGGTAAACATATATGTAATGTCAAAAAGGTAATGTGTCATTCTCACGTGCAGTATCTAGTCATTATTAGTGGTAGAACTAACTCAATTTTGCACAAAGAGTGCACTAATGTACCTAGAAAAGAGTGTATAGAATAGAATGTATAAAAAACGAGAAAATTCAGTGACAGCAGGTCACTTAATTTTCTCACTGAATTTGTAACACAGAAGTTGGAAGTAATAAATAAATATCAGGTTTAGTTAGGAAAAATCCATGTAGAATTTCATTTCTACATGGATACTGCTCATGCGTCCGGCAATGTGATGGGTCAGAAGGTGGAGTGCTGATAAATATTGTGGAATTTGTGTCCATAATGACAAATAGGAACTTAAAAATTTGAGGTGGATATTCACATGTTAATGTCAACTCTTTAAATGTTGAGGTGATTTTGGAGCCCGATTACGCCGCAATGTGGATTGGCTCCCAGAATGCAACATGACACATGTCAGCTTTCAAAATTTTGAAATCTGTCACGAGTAAATAAGGTTACCTGATGTTGCATTCTGGGAGTCAATCCTCATTGAATCACAAACATGGCGATTCATGAAAACATTCGTTCGATTTCAAGTGGTAAAGATTTATCCATCATTTGCAGGTATGAAGCTTTGGATTCATTTATTGTGCTGTGAATGGGAATTATTTTTCTACCGCTTAGGAGAGTTTGAGACACGAAACTTAGAATTTAGCTCATTGTGACAAGTTTTGAGGGTTGAGATTTATTTTTGTCTCCCACAGCACTGCATTCATGACTGTAGATCTACCTGGAAAAAAGGAATTCAATGTTTACTCACGTTTAGTCCTCCAAATCTCGCAAAAATTGTATATATTTTTTATAGAAAAGGATACTATCCATAGACATCTTTGATTCCTTTGATTTTGGAGCTTTGGGCTGTGGTAAAGTATGTTATAGTGGCAAAATTCGGTGATTCAGGAAGGAATGATTTTTTACTATGTGAAAAACGTCACCAATACATGTTTAGTTTATGACGTCAGTAATTCATGTGTATACAAAACAAAATATAAACAACCCCGCCCCCTTGAACTTGCACAGGGACCAGTCCAGTGGCCAGTACAGGCTGTCCCGGTGTAACAGTAATTATGGTCCCCAGGGGATTATGGTCCCCTTTCTTAAAGGCCCTTACTGGCCCTGATTGTGGATACGATAATAAGGGAAAGAGTTGCATTTAGGCATGGGCTTCTAGTTGAAAGCCCATGATTTAGGTAACCATACAAATCTAGTCTATATCCAAAAGACTGAATTTCCTGAGAATTCAGTCTATTGATCATTATGTCCCTCCTGTGGGAAAAAACAGGAAATTTCAGGCACACAATTATCAATTTTAGGAAACTTCCCTTCCCCAAAATAAGCATTATAACAATTCAATTAAGTAGTAAGGTACAAATAAATGCTATGAAAAGTAACACAGCATATTGTCAAATGGAAATAAAGCTAGGGGAAGTAACAAATATGCAAATTAATTTACCCAGTCGGCCATTTTGAATGGCACTTCCTATGTAAACAAATATTTTTCAATCCCAAATTTTAACATATGTGGGCTATAGTCTGAATATTTTCATTCCAAATTTCAAAAAAATTTCAGACTAGAGGATATAGTCTAATGCAAATCAATGGAAAGTAGGACCATAATTTGATAGGACCTCCTTCCCTTTTACACCGGTTTAAAAGGGCAGGTGGTCATATCATCAAATTTTGGTTCTAGAGTCCATTTCACTATTTTATTGCGTCAGTAGAACCCCAAAAATAAGAAATCGGGAGACCATTGTGCAATAATATTACTCTAGCCAATACTTCCTTAGACATGTTAGAAGAAGGTAACAATAATATATTGAAAAGTATATTCATATTGTACATGAATGACATTTATGACATATATTATTGCATAATGATATTTTCCAAATATATTATTGCATAATGATATATTTGGATTTCTTATTTTTTGGGTTTTACTGACGCAATTAAACAGTGAAATGGACTCTACTCTCTATTGATTTACATGGTGACCTAATTGCAATTATTTTCCTTATTATTTATACACAGTCAGGGCCAGTAAGGGCCGTAAGGAAAGGGGACCATAATCCCCAGGGGACCATAATTTCTTTTACACCAGGAGGCTGTCCCAGATTTCGTGTACTCTCTGTAAAATAGTGCACACTGACTGAAGCAAAGTCAATCTCTTAAAGAAGGATGTTGTGATAGGAATTTAGGAAAGACTCAATGAAGACTCCCCTTGACTTTTTTACATGATGATAAGTCCATGGGCATTCAATAGATTATTGAAAGCCCATGATAAGTCATACCACATATTCACTTACATGTATGGGCATCTAAAATTTTACCAACGAAGCAGTCCCAAATCTGTCGCTTTATGTACTAATTTTGCGGTTTTACTGACTGGTCAAATTATTTTGACAATTGGTTGTTCTTTTGATTATTTCAAAATATTGGCAATAATATACCCATTAGCTGATCTCAAGATAATATATCCAACATATGTAGGATATTATGTAGGCAATGTTGATGTTGTGTTTGTTAGAGTAAGCTAGGACACCAGTTTGGGCAACGGAAAACAGCCTTTATTTTCCATCTTTATTGCATATTACCATAAAAAAAACCTGACTTAACTAAGGGTCTTTCTACCTGAACCTAGGTTTATGATGTAAAAACGAGTCATTTGTTATGATTTTCTGGATGACATTATTCCATTTATGTACATGACAATTAGAGCCCATTCTGATGAATTATGTGATGTCACAAGCCCTGACACAGCCAGATAGCCTAGTCAGTTTCTCCATTTTTTCCTAAAAGTTGAGGCTATACCTTGCCTAGCCTTTCCCAAGTCGGTATTTTGGTACTTATCTGATCTTGAGAAATACTAAATATTCTAGACTGACATAGAGCAAAAGCATTTGAGAATTGGCTGGACTTTGAGCAGATCATATTGTCAAGTTGCCCAATATATACATTTATCGCAGGATTTGTAAAATGAAGCCCTCTGATTGGTCAGCTCTTGTGCTGTACCAATCTGTATTGCTACTTAGATTGTCCCCATTGATCATCTCTGTCAGCAATGCAGAAAATATTAGAATGGAGGGGACAATCTCAGTAACAATAAAGAATACAGCATATTTTCTAGGGATTATCCCCTATGCATTGGCTCATCACAGGATAAAAATGTTATAGAATGATTTGAAGTGCAATGCTCTCAATATTCTGTTTTGGAACTCAACTTTGTCTTGTGCCAATACAGAATTTTCGACATATCATTCAATAACTTATAGTATCGTATGATCTGTAAAATGAAACCCTCGGATTGGTCAGTTCTTGTGCTGTACCAATCTGTATTGCTACTGAGATTGTCCTCGTTGATCATCTCCGTCGCAATACAGAAAATATTGGTACGGAGGGGACAATCTCAGTAGCAATACAGAGGAGCACACGATAAAAACACTTAGTCTCGTTCCAATACAAAATTTCTCGAACAGAATATATCCTGTATTGCACTTCAAATCATTAAATAACTTCTAGTATTGTAGCCACATGCAAGTGCTGAACAAGTGTGATCCATGGACAAAATTCAAAAGCATGTAAGTAAGTAAGTAACTCTTTAGAGTGTGTAATGTATGAACTTTATTTTCTTCATAATATTTACAAGTTACATTTTGTTTTTTGTTTGTTATTTTTTACACTACTCACTACTATAAATATTTACACCTATTTTTATTTTTAACTTGAAAATGACAACAGAACAATTTGTAGATAGTAGGCCTAACCCGTACCAGATAAGCATAAAGTACATGGATGAACAGTAGCATAATGCTCATATATCATGAAATCAAATGAATATGTTATGAAAAGTGAAACCAATACATGGAAACGTAACATTTAAGTGAGGTCCATATGTGGTCTAAGAGAATGAATCTGTAATATTGATTGAAACAATATATATATAGTGATTGTGAAATGTTAAATCTAGCACCAATGTTGAAAGGGAGATGCAAAACTAAAATGTAGCTATGGAAGCTAAATCTCTTATGCGAATTCTTTGTGTCATATTACATTCTCAGACTAAAATTCAACCAACCTAGGCTATTTAAGGGTTTATAAACTTGTACATGTCATTCAAAATTAAAACCATAAACTCTGTGATATTTATAACTATAAGGCACACAATTTTACAGGGTGTCAATTAAGACCTTTGGAAAGAGATTTTATCGGAAAGAGACTTTATGGACAGCCTGCATAATCGGAAAGAGACTTTATGGACACCCTGCATAATCCAATAATAAAAAAACTAAAACTAACTGGCAGATAACATTAGGAAAATTACTAATGGACAACAAGTGTAAACATTTGCATCTCATTCAAAATAATAATAACAATTATTGCAAAATATGAATTTCTTTCAGTTTCACCGAAATCTGTACTCAGAAATACCAAACTACAGAAACCAATTTGAAAACATACACATTTTTAGGTTATTTTGAATACAATTAACCCTATTAATAGTTACACATAAAATATTGCTGGTCTACTAGTATTAAAACTATTAATTCTAATCAGATCGGTCATATTCAATGAGCATCATCATTAAAATATTAAGTCAAAATATTAGAATATGCAAGCTTCTAATAGTTTTAGTACTAGCTGATCAACAATCAGTATCATAATACAGTCTGCATACATTATGAAAATGGTATACATTATTTACTTAGTGTTTCGTCATATACTAAGACTCCCACCCTTTCAGGTACATGTAAATGCATATCTGGGATGTCATCACCCCATTTGAACAATGTGGAGGAGCAGGTTGTTTTTACAAGAATCTCAAAATCACACCGGAATAGCCTAACAACGGTCAGATACCGTTGTCACAAATGGCGGACATAACCGTCACTTCAACTGTTTAATCACTTGGTGCTCATTTCATGGGATTTTATCGTCGCTAATACTGTGCATGTATGTATTAAGCTCTTGTAATAATGTATCATATGAAATCCCATTTTCGATCAAATTGGGTCGTGAATCGTCACAATATAGTGTCTTCGATATCGTTAATGACAACGGAATCTGAATTTGAGTAATTTAGAAAGACAACGGCATATGGTAATTGCAGTGTCCGTTGTGCCGTATCTCATTTTGATCGGTTAAATTAAAGACATTATTTCAATGGTAGAACATTATAGACTGTACAATGAGTATTAAGACACTTTGATTGATTGTTGTTCCAAAGGAATTTTGTTTAGGTGCTCTATTAAACATACAATTAAATTAAAGTGACGGTTATGTCCGCCATTCGTGACAACGGTATCTGACTTTACTGTTGTCAGGCTATTCCAGGGTGAAAATGACTTGCTCCTCCTCATGGACCAATTTAGGCCTGACATCCCATGTATAAATGTGATTGTATGTGGGGCCTAGAGATGTTCATATAGGCCTGACATCCCATGTATAAATGTGATTTTATGTGGGGCCTAGAGATCTTCATATAGGCCTGACATCCCATGTATAAATGTGATTTTATGTGGGGCCAAGAGATCTTCATATAGGCCTGACATCCCATGTATAAATGTGATTTTATGTGGGGCCAAGAGATCTTCATATAGGCCTGACATCCCATGTATAAATGTGATTTTATGTGGGGCCAAGAGATCTTAATATATGACTCAACATTTCAAATGAATATTTTAATTTGAAATTACTCCAAGTCTCATATTCTAAGGTGACTTGACCCTGTATTCCAGGTTAATCATATAATTAATATTAAGACAGGTGAACCACTCCTATAAAACTCCACCACTACCATCCAATCTAATAGATCCTGATACCATACTCCTGGTAACTTTTGATGCACCCAACTATTGCATTTTGGGTCAGTTTGTAGGAATTCAATCTGATATGGATATAATAAGCCAAAATATGTCTTTCTTCAGTCTTCTTTCTTGTTTCAAGAATTTTTGAAGCTGAACAAATAAGTTAAACATGCAAATATTACCAGGAATAGATATATTACCATGATACAATCATTGAGGGATTTTCCACTTATTCAAACAACTCAGCGTTGATGGTGTCCTAAAAGTAGAAGTGGGTATACCCAATATCTATGTGGATTGCTTGTAGCCTATCCCAAGCTATAGATTAAAGTATAGGCCACACATATACATCCTATATATATATATATATATATACATACATATATGTTCATGTATTCATTGATAAGAAAAATACTGCAATTTTCCAATAATTTCAGTTTGCGTACATCATGCATGGGTATGTAGCCTATCTCCTAAATTCTTTCCTGTAGGGTTTCTTATGTTCCTCTCTTAAGAACAAAGTTTCCTGTCTGATACATATTTTCACTTATCATTCCCACATTGTTGCGTGTTCATATACATGCTTATATATCCATGCATGTAGCCTAGTAATGCAATTTATTGGTTATTTTAATAAACAAGTAGTTTCAAGTAGTTCTATATTATGTGTTTCCTACTATATGTAGTTCCCAGTCTTTAGTTCTGTGTGTTTATGATACATCTGGAATCAGAAATGAAAACAGTGTTAACAGTTACAAGTGAACCAGTGCAATCCAGAACATATATGGGATTTGAAAATGCAGTAGCAGTAATCGCCCTAGAATTACACTTAATGGCTGTTATATCAAGTTTAGACCATGAATTGAACAATGACTGTGAAAAAGTCACTCCACCTTTAGTCAATTACTCAGATGCAAGTAGCTAGTTACCAGTTTCGCCGCCAGGTGGCTGATTTGGGGGAAATAACATGGCAGGGTATTACAAAGTTCCCTTTAACTTGAATATTCATCAGTTTTAGTGGTTTACTAAATCATATTACCCTTGTGTATCTTATAGTTATACATCTTAAAATATGTCCAGTAAAGGAAATTATTATCTTCCTAACACAAGATATTTCAATTATTGTGATCTTACAACATGGGGTCTATGGGGAATCTTCCCGACCTAGAAGTGACATTTTCAAAGAAAATTAAATTTTGAAAGTTGATATACTTCTCAAAACCACATTTCTAGATGTAATTTTACATGTAGATTCCAAATATGACATCAGTTTGACTGAATTTTGAATTTCTAATGATGAAAATCAAGATTATTTCTTCTCGCATCTAGTCTATTGTCTTTTGCATGAATGAAACTGAAAATGATTTCTATTTGACCACTTTAATAGTTATCTGATGCAACTCAATAGCCATAACATGAGAATATTGTACTTCAATTTGTTTCATATCATATATATATGAAGGGTTTATATATTCATGTTACAGCAGTCATTTTGCTGTATATAACAATTTTTTCAAAGCAAATTGATTAGAAGAGGGTATAGAATATAAATATATACGTACAACTGGCAGCTGTTTCATTGAACCTCTTCTGTATCTGGTCATGGTTGAACTTCAAGAATGCCTCATACTGTTCTGTAAAACAAAACACGACACAATCAATTCACTTTCAATTGAAACATGTAATGTACATCGCAAAGAATGGGTCATGGTTGAACTTCAAGAATGCCTCATACAGTTCTGTTAAACAAGACATGACACAACCAATCCACTTTCAATTGAACCATTTAATGTACATCGCAAAGAATGGGTCATGGTTGAACTTCAAGAATGACCCATACAGTTCTGTATAACAAAACACGACACAATCAATCCACTTTCAATTGAAACATGTAATGTACATCGCAAAGAATGGGTCATGGTTGAACTTCAAGAATGCCTCCTACAGTTCTGTAAAACAAAACACGACACAATCAATCTACTTTCAATTGAAACATGTAATGTACATCGCAAAGAATGGGTCATGGTTGAACTTCAAGAATGCCTCATACAGTTCTGTTAAACAAAACATGACACAACCAATCCACTTTCAATTGAAACATGTAATATACATCGCAAAGAATGGGCCATGGTTGAACTTTAAGAATGCCTCATACAGTTCTATATAACAAAACACGACACAATCAATCCACTTTCAATTGAAACATGTAATGTACATCACAAAGAATGGGTCATCGTTGAACTTCAAGAATGCCTCATACAGTTCTGTAAAACAAAATATGAAAATAATCAATCAACTTTCATTTGAAACATGTAAATGTACATCGCAAAGAATGGGCCATGGTTGAACTTCAAGAATGCCTCATACAGTTCTGTAAAACAAAATATGAAAATAATCAATCAACTTTCATTTGAAACATGTAAATGTACATCGCAAAGAATGGGTCATGGTTGAACTTCAAGAATGCCTTCACCTGAGTATTTAGATTTGCTTTACCTGAGTATTTAGATTTGCTTCACCTATGTCATACCTGCCAACCTACCGTATTTTTACGGGAATCTACTGTAAATTTTTCGTTTTTCCGTAAAAAAAAACCATTTTTCCCCGTAAAAACGCCCGTAAAAAAATCTACCGTATTTATTCGTAATCTACCGTAAATTTTCTTTTTAAAAAACTCGTTTATTCCATGAGAACGGTCGTAAAATCTACCGTAAATTTTTGAAAATCTACCGTAAATTTTCGAAAATCTGCCATATTTCTGCTAAAATCAACAGTATTTTTGTTCAAACTACCGTAAAATTTCCCGTTATTGTTATTGGGAAATGCTGAAAATTGAAGTCTTCCTGTACTGTCCCTGTAATATTCCTTCACCAACCCGAATATAAATAGGTATCGGCAGGTCTGTGGTTATCAGGTTATTGCGCATTTATCTAAGTAAGCTTGCGTGTAATCAGTCCAAACACCAACTACTACTAGCTAGAAGGAATTCTTTCTGCCATGATTTTTATTGTAGTTAACACAGATCTCTATTCCGAATGCAACAAAAATATAATTTTAGTTGCGCTTCATCTAAATAAATGAATGGAAATGCGTATGCCTATTTAGCGTATGAAATATGCGTAGTTTGATTTGTTATGATCAGTAATGAATGCCACATATACATTATACATAGTTTAATCAATTTCTTTACAGAACGATAAAATGTTGTATTTTTCATCAGAACACATTATCAGTAACAAATACATAATAAAAAAATAAAGCATTGAGTTCTGGTTTATTATAAAAGTATTGTGATATCCGAATCTGAACGATGTCTCAGGGGAAAGGTTTCAGCAAATGCTCATAACAGATTATTTTTGAAAGACAATTTATCTGTACTTATTTTCTATTTGTGCCAGACAAACACGAGATATGAATCTTGTGTTCGTATTTTGAATCAATCTAGATTTACTGTAAAAGAGTTGTATATGTACATTTTGCTGAAACATTAAAATCCAAAGTTGCTGTCTGTCCATTGTAGGCATGGTAAATGAAGAATAAAAAGTGTTTAGTCTCTATTTATTCTTGAAAATAGTATATCTATTTTTCCTTGAAAATAATAGTTTCGTATAATTCTCAGGTGGTAGTTCTGCTTTACAAACTGTAATTATCAAAAGCACTCTTGACTTGCAGTAAAATATGTATTCACAATAACAACAACAATATGACCACGTAAACATTGTATTAATATAGAAAACCGCATTGTATAAAGGTTTAACTACCGCATTTTTCAAAATCTACAGAAAAATACCGCATTTTGACAAATCTTCCGCAAAAGTAACAGTTTTTCAAAAAATTACCGTAAAAACTACCGCAATTTTCAAAATTTACCGCAAAACTACAGTTTTTTCAAAAAACTACCGCATTTTTTAAAATCTACCGTAAAACTACCACATTTTTTCTAAATCTTCCGCAAAACTACCGGTTTTTCAAAAAACTACCGTAAAAACTACCACATTTTTCAGAATCTACCGTAAAACTACCGCATTTTTCAAAATTTCTCGCAAAACTACCGGTTTTTCAAAAAACTACCGTAAAAACTACCGCATTTTTCAAAATTTACCGTAAAACTACCGCATTTTTCAGAATCTTTCGCAAAACTACCGGTTTTTCAAAAAACTACAGTAAAAACTACCGCATTTTTAAAAATCTACCGTAAAACTACCGCATTTTTTCTAAATCTTCCGCAAAACTACCGCTTTTTTCAAATTTCTACCGCAAAATTACACTTTTTTCAAAAATCTACCCCAAACCTCTGAAACTACAGTATTTTTTTTAAATATACCGCAAAAACTAACGTTTTTTTAAAAACTCCCTCAAAAACTACCGTTTTTTTGTAAAACTCCCTGTAAATCTACCGCAAAAACTACCGCAAGTTTGTTGAAAAATACCGCAAAAACTACCGTATTTTGAAAAAATCCCCCGCAAAAATACAGCAATTTTAAAAAAATCTACCGCAAAATTTTGGTCTTAGGTTGGCAGGTATGTATGTATTTAGATTTGTTTCACCTGAGCATTTAGATTTACTTCACCTGAGTATTTAGATTTGCTTCACCTGAGTATTACGATTTGCTTCACCTGAGTATTAAGATTTGCTTCACCTGAGTATTTAGATTTGCTTCACCTGAGTATTTAGATTTGCTTCACCTGAGTATTTAGATTTGCTTCACCTAAGTATTTAGATTTGCTTCACCTGGGTATTTAGATTTGCTTCACCCGAGTATTTAGATTTGCTTCACATAAGTATTTAGATTTGCTTCACCTGGGTATTTAGATTGCTTCACCTATGTATTTAGATTTGCTTCACCTATTTAGATTTGTTTCACTTGAGTATTTAGATTTGCTTCCCCTGAGTATTTAGATTGCTTCACCTAAGCATTTAGATTTGCTTCACCTAAGCATTTAGATTTGCTTCACCTAAGCATTTAGATTTGCTTCACCTGAGTATTTAGATTTGCTTCACCTAAGCATTTAGATTTGCTTCACCTAAGCATTTAGATTTGCTTCACCTGAATATTAAGATTTGCTTCACCTGAATATTTAGATTTGCTTCACCTGAATATTTAGATTTGCTTCACCTTTTTCAATTTGCTTCACCTATTTAGATTTGCCTCAACTATTTAGATTTACTGAACCTATTTAGATTGCTTCACTTAAAGGTTGAATAAAGACTATAGAAGAAATTTGGGAGTCATTTTACCTTTCCCGAGCTATTAATGCAACGTTTGGCCTTCTTCACCATACCTTTCTTAAAATATATGCACTTGTCGACAAATACCACCAATCAGACTTGCAAATAGACTTCTAAATAAGCAATTGAAAGGTTGGACGTCCCGCATTTTGTTTTTTGAAACATTTCTAAATCTCCGCCATTTAAAATTCTTGCTGCAGCTGAGATAGGTAAGACCGCATGTTACAGTATAACCGCGGTTGTCTGATATAACCGTATGCATGGTACACGATATGACCGCCATTGACGGTCTATTACCGGCGACTCTTGCAGTTAATTTGATCCACTGACGAAGAAAAATCAAAAAAATCTAAGACTAAAACACCTCAAATCTGCCCATATTCAAGGTCTTCTTGACACGCACATGGTTTAAAGGAAACAGAATGTTGGATAGAACGTTAGGTGAAAACGGGGCTGGAATCCAATGACAATATAACCAGGAAATCATTAAAAGGTACGTGAGCATTTTTTCTGTCGATGTCTGGAGAAGATTCCCGGGAATTTAGGATGCCAGTGATTGTGAATATCGGCAGAAATAAGGTACGTTCGGGGGTTTTCTTTGTAGCTAATGAAAATAGATGTTAGCCTACTATGTTGAAATATTCAAAATTCGATATATTTTGACACCAGGACTATGATCGTTGGATACGTCTCTGCACTATTTATTCAACCTTTCAAGTCCGCATATATATTTTTGTTCGAAAAATCGTGAATTTCTTTAAAACCAACTTTTAGAGGTTACATGTATCTTTTAATAAGCGTTAATTTATACCAATGCACAGTATTAATCCTTACATGTTTTTGCCGAAAAAATGAAGAAAATCAGTTCATAGATAAGCGAAAAATGAACTCATCAATCCATGAAAATGGTTCAGAGAAAGATGTCTCGCCTATTTAGATTCGCTTACCTATTAATGTTTGCCTCACCTATTTAAATTTGCTAACCTATTTATGTTTGCCTCACCTATTTAAATTTGCTAACCTATTTATGTTTGTCCCATCTATTTAAATTCGCTTCCCTATTTATGTTTGTCTCACCTATTTATGTTTGCCCCACCTATTTAAATTCGCTTCCCTATTTATGTTTGCCCCATCTATTTAAATTCCCTTACCTATTTATGTTCATCTCGCCTATTTAAATTCTCTTACCTTTTTATGTTTGTCTCACCTATTTATGTTTGCATCACATGTTTAGATTCGCTTACATTTGCCTCACCTATTCAGATTTGCCCAAGCTATTTAGATTTGCTTAGGCCTAACTATTTAGATCCTGGCTACACCCTTGTCAAGCAAATATTTCCAAACAAAATCTTTGCAAAAAAGTAAATGAAATATACCAGCTTTAGCTGAAAATTTTTGTGACAATCACTCATCATAAAAAATTGAAATTGAAAATTACATACCTGCCATTTTACACGAGAGCACTTTGTCATACTCTTCCCTGACATTCCCCTCGTGCTCCTTGATCATTCTGTCACACATTAGGGTGACCTGTCTGAATGTGAATAGTGGAACGTCTTTTTTACTAGGAGAGGCGCCTCCAAATATATTAGGTGTCGACTGGGAAGATTGCACATTTGAAAAACTTTCTTGTGATGATGAACCACTAGGACTGGCTGGGGCAGGAGGACTGGAACTCATAGGATAGTGCAGTTGTTTCCTTCGATGCATTCTCTTTATTTCTGCACTCAGCTTGGCAGCAATTTCCTCTGAAATCATAAAGCACTTCATTATTGGCAGAAAGTTATATTTGAAGCATTGAGTCACTCTTAAGAGATAGTCATTTAATTCCGACCGTTGCATGCTTTTCTTTGTTGTTATTATTTGGATTTTATATCATTTTTTGGCATACTCGATCAATAGTAAATATGTTTTTTCTTATAGTATAAACTTTATTGAGGTAAAGTCAATACATTTTCGGCCACCAATCGCCATATTGGCATTATAGGTTGGCCATCACTTACATGTAAAAAGTTAAGTATAATATTTAGCTGTTTGAGGACGACAGTGCATCAAATGGTATCCCATGGACCAGAAGGGTTGGTGCCATGTAGATGTGGTAAAAACAAAATAAATATATTATGGATTCTCCAGGACTTAGATGAGAGTGAGACCTGTTTGCTATATCTTGTTATCATGGAGAAAATTGCTGACGATGATAAGAAGTTTGCTTAGTTCTGCTAAGGATAATGTCTCGTCACCATATCATCTGTTTGTTAGTTGGCTGATATTATTATGAAAGTTATTGTTGACATCTTCCATCAGGGCATGTCTATTAATTTGGCATGAAGGACACTGAAAAAAAAAATGTTTTAGTGTTTCAGGTTTGCCGCAAGAACAATGAGCCAAGTCTATAAAAGTAAATTGGTGTGCAAAAAGTCTTGCTTTCAAAAATAAATCTACATGAGCTCTGTTGAGTGATTTCTTGAGACCTAGTTAAATTGATCAGGGACGTTGAACTGATTATTCTCTTAGGCAGAAAGTGTTTATTACATTCTTTTTTGAATGATTGTAGGGAAAATTGTAAAGCATATTCTAAAAGAGGTTTAGGTAATTTGTTCCACAGTGATATTGCATTAGGAATAGGAGATTTAATGAATTAGGCAATTGACCTTATAGGAATTTGGTATACCATTGCTTGTTCTTCTGGTAGCTGGATTTTTGAATTCTTCAAATATTGAAGATACATAAGAGGGTACCTGGTTTCTGATTACTTTGTACATGAAGTTAAGAATGTGTTGTTCCCTCCTTTGGGATTGTGTGCACCAGTTTAAGACCCCCATAACCTTACCTGTTTCAGAGCCATGGAGACACCCAGAACACAATAATGCAGTCTGATAATGTAACTTTCTAGGGATATTGATCAGTGCTTGATTTGATGAATGATAAAGAATGTCTGCGTAATCAAAATGAGACCTAATGAATGAGTTGTACATTGTCTCCAAATGTTTTGAGTTAATTTTTGATGTACAGCTGTAGGTGCCTTCAATGGATTAAGCAGTTTTTGTACTCTTTTGACAATGTCATACATATGATTTTTGTTGGAAAGAAGATAATCAAAAGTATACCCTAGATGCTTATGAAAATTAATTTCCCTATTTCCAAGTTTGGCTAAAGGTGGCGGAGTAGGAAATACATAGCGCTGGCTTTGAAAGATAACTTCCTCTATTTTTTTCAGGCTTGAAATCTAGTTTCCATTTTTGAGACCAGTTAGTTATGATATTAAGATCATGATTGATTGTATGTATGTCAGGATCAGATGGATCAAAGGGGTTATATAGTGATGTGTGATCAGCATTGATAAACGCCTTTCCAAAAAGATCATCGGGTAAGTCATTTATATAAATCAAAAATAAAATTGGACCTAGGATAGATCCCCGAGGGATGCCGCTGTTGATATAGTTTGCAGAAGATGTATCTAATGATTGGCCACCTACATTTACATTGACTTTACGATTTGACAAATATGTTTGGAGAATTTGATAAAATTGGCCTTCAATGCCATATCCTTTCAGTTTTGCAAGCATCAGCTTATGAGGAACACAATCAAAAGCAGAACTAATGTCTAAATAAATTGCACGTACTGCTTTATGATGTTTGATATTTGAATGAAGAAAGTGATTTATTGCCAGTAGCTGGAATTCAGTGTTATGCCCTTCAAGAAACCCTGATTGGAATTCAAAAATAAGATTATCAGCTTTGAGGTGAGCATTTAGTCACGTTAGTTCAAAGACATTCGATAAAATATTTGGAAGAGTTAACAATGCAAGAAATGCACATTTTCATGCTCCTTCGATGTTCCTTGGTAAAGTAAGATGATTTGTGGAAATTTTGGATTCTTGCAAATGTGTGACTGTTGCAAGGCTAGTCCTTGAAACTTTCAAAAATTAACCTCACTTCATTGTCTTCATGATAGCTTTAGGGACCCATGCACCTCCAGTTCATAGTTATGAAAACTCTTTTAAATATTAAAGGCTTCTTTGACATGTCCCTTACCTTTAGTCAGGAAATGCATTCAGAGATAAGGAAAACAGATACAAAATCTTAGGACTCTTTATTAAAAAAAATATGGTTGCCATTTTTTGTACTTTTGATTAACTTTAGTGTTACCTTAAAATTCTAGTAAGGGTAGTATATTTTTCAAAATTTTCTGGAGTATTATTATTTTTTAACTGGGTAAAGAATTTTTCTTTTTGTTAATTTTGTGCTTTATTTTCTCCATAAACCATGGTTTAGAGTTGGCCTTAACAGTTATTGTTTTATGAGTGATAAATGTTTAATATATTGTCTTGAGGGCATAAATAAATTGTTCGGTTATAGTATTTGGATCAATGTCCGTATCAAAAATTCCATTCCAGTACAGTTCTCGGACTGCATTATTTATTGCTTGAAGGTTAACCTGGTCATATTTCCAAACAATTCCTTTATAGCTGGTTCCGTGAGAATATTAACATTGAGTTTAACAGTTAGAGTGCAATGGTCAGAGCCACCTATTGGAGAGTCAACTGACAATTACAGCTGCAGAGACAGCCAGGGGAATATTTGTAAGAACATGATCTATGCAAGTTATAGAGTTATCTTTTATGTGTGTTGGTTGGTCAATTAGCTGCAAATAGTTGAAATCTTGGGTGACATTAAAAAGAAGGTTACCAGACAGATTATCTATTGATGTACCTTCGGCATACCAGATACTATTCTTAGCATAAGTATCAGCAGTAATCAAAATATTATCCAATGACTGGTTCTTAATTTTATCAAGTTAATTAAAGAAGAGTCTCGTTTCATCTGCGCTTTGGCTAGGAGAACAATGACCAACTCCATATAAATTTTTTCTTGTGATTTACTACAATTTCCACAAAAGCAATGTCTAAACCATCAATTTCAATATCATTCCTGTCAGAAAATCTGAAAGAGTGAAAATAAGATATTTTGTAATTTGTAAAACCTTGATCATGGTACCCAATTTCACAGATTCCAGCAACTTTAATCTGATCTAGTTCTATTCTTTGTGTGAGTATGTCAAAACGAGAACGAGCACCGTTATCAGAGCCGATACTATTAATATTGCTGAATAAAACGTTCAAATGATCAAAATGCACCACATTTCTACTCAGTGGACCTGGGTTGGTATTTTAGTTTGTTTTCTAGTTTAGGTTTCATATCTGTGTCCTCTTATATTTTGATACTTCTCTGCCATGTTATTTTCGGAAAAATTAACATGGCTGAGACTCCATAAATTACAAAAGGCCACAGCTCTGCTGCATATTATACATTACTATCTGAAATATACAAAAGTTAGGATAAATATAAATTTTATTCCTAGCTGTGAGAATCACAAACATCTTGGCCTTAATTTTGACATTCACCTTAACTTTAATTATCACATTGACCAGATAATAAAAAGAGTTACTTCTCTTTTGAGACCGATGATAAAGCTGAGTAAAATTCTAAATAGTCAGCACTTAGAGATATTATATAATACTTACATTATGCCTCATTTTGACTATTGTGATGTCATTTACAACAAGGCATCTAACATGAAATTACAAGCTCTTGAAAGACTTCACTACAGAGCAGCCTGCCTGGTTTCTGGGGCTATACATGGTTCCAATACTATCAAAGTTTTAAACTCTTTAAACTGGAAACAGCTAACAACCAGAAGAATTGAGCACTTAAACATGTTTACTTTTAAATGCAGGTATAACATTAATCCTCCATTTATTTGTGACTTACTTCGGAAATATGAACATATACCGGTCCGCCCCTTAAGACATCAAAGAGATTATGTTCTCCCAACTCGCCTTAGCTTCTCTTTTAAAAAAACTACCATCTTCCAATCTATAACTTTATGGAATAATTTGCCATCAGATACTAGAATGGGTCAACCTATTTCTAGGTTTAAAAGATTAGTAAGAGAACACAAGAGCCCAGTCTCTTTAATTCCAACTTCTAAATTGAATGTGACCTTACCCAGACATATTGAAATACCTTTTAATAGGCCTTTTACTTAAAGCACACCTTTATGCACATAACTTTAATGACATTAGTGACCCTTTGTGTAAATGTGGTGTTCCATTGACTACCTTGCATTTTCTTTTAAATTGCCCACTGCTCCATGATGAAAGAATCAACCTCATTGCAGGCCTTCATACTTACAATTTAGGAAACCTGTTTAACAGCTACAATTTGAATGATAAATTACAATTTTTACTTTTTGGAAAAGATGATTTAGATGCATCAACAAATGAAGAATTAATTAATATTGTTAGTTATTATATATACACGAGTTTCACTATCATATCACGTCTGTGACAACAGGTTCCGTTTCTTCATTTTTCTGCTCTTTCCTTTTTGTCATCATCCCCGCCCATGGGATTTCCTTGATTCAGTGATTTGGAATTAAGAATATATGTAAACCTTTTGTATTTTATATTATATCTATTATTTCATTTATGTTATATTATTTAATTGCCGCTAATGTTGCAAAACTTTGGCAATCAGCTAACTTTGTACATCTATGTTATTATTTGAAATAAATCGATAACATGAAAAAAAAAAAAAAAATATATAAATGTTTCTATTTTTACATAAACCGTTTCAATATTGTCATTTGATACAGTTGGGGACATAAATAAATGACAGGTGGATTTGCTGAAGTGAGGATTTCCCATGTTAAAAATAAGAGAATTTACAAGAGGCCATACATCAG